GCACACACCAACGCAGATCTTCACTAACTAGGTTCTAGTACATAAATTCTATTCACTATAAGTAAGTAACGAGCTTTGCGGTGTTCTCTGGTTTTGTAAGCAACAAGGAAGTCTGTTCTCTCCAGGTAAAACTGGTGTCTTTTCCCAGGAACAGAGACACTCCTTGAAAGCCAAGGGATTTAGCGTACATCAGACAAGCAAGGTTAAGTGTCCTGTCCCCCTCACCCCCAACCTGATGTCAGACAACTCCAGAAATGTTTGGTTTCTCCTTATACAGGGAGGCAAAAAAAAGCGTGCGCCCGTGCAGCTTCGGCATTGGCCACTGCTCAGCAAGTGAGAGATAACAGCAATTAAGGATGCAAGCAGCAAAACCCACGTGCAGAGTTGTGAAATAATCTTGTCTTCGCTTCATTCTTCCCTATTACGTTGAATTCAAAACATTCAGTTTATTTTGGAATAGTATTTGACCTTCTAAAAGTTTCCATTATTTAGTAACTTCAATTTCAGCACATCTTTTCTCAAATTATGGTGACTTCTAAATGAAGAAATTAAAACCAGAAGCGTAGCTTTTCCAGAATAACCATAGATTTAATATAAATGCCGTTAAGCATGCAATTCTTTAGTTCAGGTTAATCTAATTAAGAACTGAAGTATCAGCGTAAGAGAGCTCTAACTTACCATTATGCTTCGTAGAAGTTGTTTCCTCATCTGTTTCAGAAGACAGCTTCCTTTTTTTGCGGCCTGAACTTCATTATACTACCAAGACTCAGTTCCCTGCTTAACGTTCCTATTGTCTGTGTTGCCATTTCTGCAAAGAACCCCGCTCACCGCTCAGGCCGTAGGGTGCCCGCTGGCAAGGCAAGCGGAACAAGAACACCGGCCCTCCTGCCACCAGCCTAAACGAACGGACGGACAGTGGAGCGTGAGGAAATGACACGACACCCATCGGCACACGCCAGGAGGCAGAGGCTACAAACCACTGCCACTCGCGCTTCGTAAGGTAAGGGGCTTCTTAGAGTTCTCTGAAGAACAGCGGGGCTGCTGCGCAGATTTGTATTAAGACCTTTGCTCAAGCTTAGGGGAAAGCAAGGAAAGAATTAAGGCGCTCGGCTGAGAAGTGATGTGAATACTGTAATTCGGGTTGGAGCTGGCATCTTACTGAGGACATTACTGACAGAAAATACTTACAGGTTCCAGAGGGCCCTCAAAACTGAAAACAAATAACTTAGGCTTCACCCAGTGGAGAAGGGGGAGTCAGAGAAAGGATGCAGAATTTTAACTACTTTTAATCAATATAAAATAATCTGTGTAAAAACAAAGCCATGCTGCAATTAACTTCTTTCAGAATGCAAAAGACAGCTACGGGGCCACCTGACAGTCCTTGGGCGAAGGCCTGCAGAACCACTAACAGCCTTAGATACCCTGCACCACAAAGGGGATACAACCAAGCCAGCATGCATCTCCAGTGCCTCCCTTCAAGACCCGAGGTCAACACAGAGTGTGGTGCGTGCACGTGTGCGCACAGATGGAGACAGACTTTTTCCTACCTGAAGAGTAATGCAAGACAGGCGGAAGCCACCGGTACAGAGCTCAGCAGCCAGCTAACCTACACGCTTACTATCCAGTTCCTACTCCAGAGGAGTACACACAGCACAGTAAGGCAAACTATTAAAACTTAAACCAGTAAAGAAGTAGTGTTATTTAATTCTTGTTCTACACAACCTCCGCCTTCTTTCCCAAACCACACGTAAAACCAAGGAGATTGAGGAGATGAAACTTTTGGAAAGCTTGCAGAAGCAAACTTCACTTCACCTGGGATCTGTAAAGCAGTGCAAAAGCAAGCACAACACTTTGGTTTGAAACCAGTTCTCCGTAACACAGAACGAATACAGATAATGTAAGCTACATTAAAATAGTTACAGTTCCCATTACGTGACTGGCCCGATTCAGAGTCTTCTGTCATGACTTGGAAAATAACAGTAATAAGAAACAGCACAAAGGCTTTTTCTTAATAAATTTTAATGTTAAGACCAGTTTGTCTGGATAAAAACACAAAGTTACAAGAACCACACTACTGCAAATTCCGCATGATGCACAGTAGTGCTAGCAATATTTGAGTGGCAAGACCGTTTTGGAACTGTTTACGAAAGATATGTCAAAGACAGAATCTTGGCATAAGTACGAATGTATGTTACCCGTGAATTTAATCCTGTGAAAATATATCTGTCCCACAATGTACACCACTGTAAGTAGTCAAACGCAATATATATGCACATCAAAAATATATGGGGTGAATACTCATTTTAGCATTTAGTCAGCAACAGTGACGGAGAGGGAAATATTTTGGTTACTTTTCTGTGATTGCATTTCACTGGAAATTTCCTAATAAGTTACTCCAAAGGGTAACATCTGTGGTTCAAAAACCATCAGGACAACAGTAATCCCGTAAAATAACAGTTGCTGACCTTCCGATAGTGACAGCCCAATCCTCCTGCCACTAGATTCATATGCATTTGGCTTGTGCTCACTGCCTTAGAACATGAGTCCAGACACCAAAAAAATGCACTACCACCATCACAGCCTGGACCACATTAGCTCAAAACACGCCAGATCAGAGATGCAACATCAATAAAAGGAGATGACACCCTCAAAGCAGCTGCCAGATTCTCAAGTATTAATTATATACACATGTGGTTACGTACAGAATACTGAAGGACAGTGTACCGAGTAGCAAGTTAAATGTTCCATCAATTTTCTGATGACTGCAATGGATACTCACGTCTCCCCCATTCAATCTAGGAAAGATACTGCAATCCAAGCACGTGATTTGATGCTACTTAAAGCTTTGTGATACCATTATGTATTTTCTTTAAAATATCTACATAAAAAAACCCTAAACGTTACTGCAAAAGAACTCTATCTACATATAGAAATAACACAGACTTGATTTGGTGGCTCTCGTTTGACTGCATCCTTGCAAACAAGTCTGCTAACTTCTCCTTGCCTCTCTAATAGCCTATGTATTACCCTGCCCCACAGGCAATACATGGTAAGTGATGAATCACTTCCTCGGTTCCCATAAAAATTCACAGTGACCAACTCTGAAAGAAAAAAGGGGTTTTGTTGTTGTGAGTACTTTTTTTTTTTTTTTTGAGTAACTGTGCAATATAAAATTCATACTACAGTTTGCAACTTTGGTAACTTACAGAAAAAAAGATTTCAAGCTCTTTAATTAAGGACCAGGTCAGAACGCTGCTTACACTATGCTCTTTGTTTCTGTGCAAACACATCAGATAAGGTTCTTCCCTCCTCTTGAGGTCCTGAAAAATTCTATTATGGATAAGAAATTGGCTACAGTTTAAGTTGTGAACCTATCTAATTTGCCTTGGTACCTTTCAATGCTTCCATCACCTAGCCTTATGAAATTTTTTACTTTCTGTTTCAATTCAGGAAATCCTGATTCTCAAAGCCAACCCGCCGCCCCAACCCCCAACCAAACAGAAAAACCCAGCCAAGCCTCAACAAGTACATCTGAATTCTCAGAAGAGGAAATATTTTCTTGATTTAACAGCAACTGTACAATATTACAAATTCAGACACATGAAAAACAATCAGGCAATAGAAAATGTACAACAGCTTTGGTGTTATACAAAATAATAAAAAAGACTTGACAGCAAGATACATAGTTCATTATGTTCTCACCACAGCCACTTCATTGCTGACTGTAAGACAGTTATTCACTGTTGATATTCTCCGTGTGGCCTTTCCACTCACGAAAAATCATACTATATTACTACAATAAGAACTGTTATGAACACCATAAAGTAATCTCCAAATTTTATAAAAACATCTTGCCTCTTCGCACTATTGCTTTGTGGCACATTGTCAACAGAACAGCAGTCCAAAATAAAGTGACAACTAGATTTAATAAATTAATATACTTTTTTAAAGATGTACAATGCACATTCTTTTTAATCCAAGGTTTTAGGGTGTCAGGATACTTCTATTTACACATATACAGACCTCAGACAGCATTGATAACATCAGAAAATGCAGGTAAGGAACAGAGCCTTAACTGCTATCTGGATGCTACTAACAGAAGCCAAAACACTGCTGAGAGTATTATTGGGAGAGATATCCAAAGACTGAAGAAGAGTCTATGAAAAAAGGACACGTAAAGGCAAAGGGAAGGTCAAGATGTTTAATATGACCATCTATTCTTGTGAAGACTGAGGTGGAGTTGTTGATGTGCCTTGTTTACCAGACTTCCGTTCATAATTCACAAGTCGTTGCCCAACAAGGTACCTGGGATTACAGGAAAAACAGTGAGAAGTAAACAAAAGTTGACACAATTCTGTAACACAAATCCACTCTATCTCCTCTGCTGCAGAAGTAGCTTTCTCATTTCAAGAAAAGTTATTCTACAAGTGATCCCTCCCCCCTTAATGCTTGTCAGCCATCCTCATCTTTTTTCCCCAACATTCAGGCACTTCACAATGGAATACAGGCATTGCAGGTTTGCGTTTACAGCCTTCACTTCGCTAGTCATACAATTCGGACACGCATAAGCTGAATGAAGGTATGAAATATAAAGAGTGCGTTTGCGTTATTTATATACTCAGCACCTTTGCTTGACCATACTTGTAATATTGTAGCTTGTAACATTAATGCAAGTTGCAATTCAATATGCATTCTGCTTGAAAGATACTAATATTTAGCTCAAAACCCATTTGTAAATATAAATACCAGCTATACACACTACAGTAGGCCAAATACTACAGAATATGTTATGAAGGCAGGTGGCGAACAGGATTTAAATCAGCTGATAAATACAAGGTGCTAAAATAGAAATTGATCTGCTGAGAGTTTAATTTTAATTACAACTCAATATTTCTAGACACTATTAATTTCACATTTACACCAAACACTTTAACGCATCAGTTACTTCCTAACATTCAAGATTCAAAGAGGTTTATTTTAGGTTTGACTCCTTTTGTAGTCAGTGGAAAGCAAAACTGTTCTAGAGTAACTCAGGACATGAACACAACAAACTTATTTATTCCTTTTCAATACAAAAGAAGCCTAGGAAGACTAGCTGCTGGGGTCCAAAACTTATTTTTTGAAATAACCGACACATAAGGTAATTAGGGTAACACAAAAAATAAGATAATAAGTATAACACAAACAAAAAGCTTAGAAACTAAGCAAGATAACCAGAAAAAACATTGTGAAAATTCATATTTCATCAGGCATCTGAGTAATACAGAGCAATAATTACTGAAAACATCAGAAAATAGTACAAAATTTGGTAAGGACACTGAATGTTCTTTAATAGGTTAAAGGGACTAAGGAGTAGAAAGAGTAAGAAAAACAGTTATGCAGAAAAGGTTGTAGAAATGGTTTTGTAAGCAGCAGATTAAGACATGATTTTACTTCCAGATATGTCATAATTATTACATACATTCGTCCTTCAAGACTACAGAGGGGGAGACAAACAAGCAATCAGCTTCCTTGGTGGTAAAACACATTCAAGTTAGATATAAGGGAGTGTCTTCCATTTACAAAGACAGTCTGTTCCTGTGTTTAGCTACCCAAACCACAGATAAAACATTTGCCAAGAACAGTTTAGGTCTGCCTCAGAGGGTCATTTGTCTAGAGAGCTTCTTAAAATCCCTTTTAGCCCTAAGTATCTACAACACCTGAATTCAATCTGAAGTTATCACAATTTAAAGGGGAAAAATTAAAACCCCACAATATATACTCACTTGTCATTTTTAATATGTTCGTAAAGGCGCTTGAACTGGCGGACTTGGAAGGAGAGAATTCCCATCAAAACCACCACCATAAGCAGAAAAGGATAAATCCGTCGCTGAACTAGGTTTTGCATTTCAGCGGTAACTCCTACAAAACAAGACACAACACAACCCTCACTTAATCTAACATTGCTGAAGTAACACATGCGTTTTGCTTCTGTACCTGCTTCCACACTTCTTGTTATACTGTAACCAGTAGAAAGGCTATGAAATAAATAACATCCGTTTATCTCAGAGATCCAACTTGACAGCTGCTATTCTGTTTCATCTGAAGCATTAAAGCTGAAAGTTTTCCATTAACACAGTGAAAATCCACAGTAAAAAAAAAGGGGGGGGGGCTTATCAGCTCTTCTTGCTTATTGATTTCTGTATGCCTCATACCAGAAAAAAGCTGACACTATAGAAGTCTGCATTCAAGTGAGAGGTTGAAGAATAAAATGGGACTTCTTGAATGTGTTGACATCAGAACTAACCAGCAAAGACAACTGTTGATGAAAAAGCACATCTACCCTGCTTTGAATAATATTATTTCCCTCAATTATGAGGAGATAGGGAACTCTGATAAAAATAAACTGTATTTACAATTTACATTTTATTTTAATACTGAACACCTCAAAACAAAACCAGTATTTTCACCTTTTCTAAACTTCCTCTACAATCTGACAAGTAAGAAAACACGTCCTTGGCTCAGTATAGCTCTTAGAGACTAAAATTACAGGCTGATTGTCCGAAGAAGACATGAATTAATCATCCCTTTCTCAAACTAGCTAGATAGCCACATTTCTGCCGTTAGATATTATGCAGTCCTATACTCTTGACATATTCTGCACTTAGTGTATTAAAAAGCCAGTCAGAATGACCTACTGAATTTCTTAGAAACCCCTAGACTTTTAAGATGACACAGCAATCTCTAAGCATTTATATTTGCTGGCAGAACAGTGGGGTTTTGTAATTTTTTTTTTTTAATAACCTAGATCTTGAAGTTTTATTTCTACAGGTATATTTACATTGCTCTAAACCATCAGATGATATACAGGTACTCCGAATGCATACATACCTAACAGAGGTACAACACCAGAAGCTATGATGTACGGCACACACAGGGAAAGTAACAGAACAGAGATTACGGGTGCTGCCAGTTTACGGATTATGAAGTGTAAATCAATGTTACGAATCCCATTTGCATATACCTAAGGAGAACAAGGAAAAAGTAGAACGGATCGGTCAAGAAAGCCACGGTTTGTGCGTACAGTAATAATTGCAAGTTTTTACACAATTCGTCTTAGGTGTTCCCAACTTGAAGAAAACAATGATGGCCACAGTCAAAGGAGGAAAAAGTCTGTGCCAATCTACATTATGAGGATTCCAGGAAATCATTTAAATAGTGCCCAGGAGAGCAACTTAATCTGGAATAGTGTTGCAATTTGTTTGCAGGAGTGCTGTTGAGTGGTTTCCTGGGTGAGCTGGGATCGCTTTGTGCTGTTAACTTGCTGAAAGAGGACCCTGTGTATGCTAATAGAGCAAATCATTAAATTTGGTAACACAGGCAGAAAATAGGACCTTATTTTGTACTTGGTTGGGCAGACCAGAGCCTCTGCGTGTGGAGTCTGTCCCTGAAGACAGGGCCTCCGCAGTTCTCGAGGAGCTAAGGTCTCAATATGACTAATCATGTGAAAAGACAGATTTCAAATGGCTACCACATACACCTAAGATGACAGCCTCTGGCCCACAGCCTGGGTGTAACTGTTTCTAAGGATGGCTGAGGAGAGCATTCAGAATGGAAGGAAGAGCCACAATAAGCATCAAAAGGTACTCACAGAACTAAGACTACATTTCTCCAGTGTGACACCTAAAATGATCAGTAAAAGGCTTAATAACCAAGACCACGTGCTAGACTTAATCAAGAGAGGCACCTTTTGTACAGAGGTCAGCATGCACCGTAGCCATAGCGCAAGGCTGAAACGTTACTCTCCGACAAACACTTGAGATACTTCACTGAGATGACAAGCACAGAACTTAAAAGGTTATCATCAAGAAAAAAAAAAACTTCTTCCAAAGAAAGCAACAGGCTACGTGACTCAGAACTGCTCACAAAAACTGTTCTGTCTTGCTTAATAATCAAAGGGGAATGGAAATGCTGCCTTTCATAAGCACTCGATTTATGAATGAGGGAATCTCTTACAGCTCTGGAGAAGGCAGAAATTCTCTGCTCTTGAGTGGTGGACATAAATAATGTCCAGTACTTGGATAATGTGAGTTCATCTCAAGAAATAATCATGTTTCTCACTTTACTTATAAACCTGATAAAAATTGCATGTACGTATACACATTTTCTTGATGTCAGATTTGTGAGGTTTATTTTTGTATTATTGTTAAGTGTACCTTAATGGATTAGGCTATACAATTTAAAAGGATTTTACAACACTAGTTGAATTTTACTCAATTACTCCATTACTACAATAGTAACTCCGTTTTCTGACACATTCAAAAAAACATTCAAAATGTATTATACAGTTAATTCACATGGGCAATTTTTTCCTACCTGTTCAATAACAGTTTTCAGCCACCACTGGGGACCCATCAGTGTTATGGCAGCAATTATTTTGGCATGCAGAACTCCAAGAGCCCAGTCCTAATTTTGTAAAAGCCAACTGTTAGCATTAATGTATTTTTAAATAGTTTGACAACCAAAAGCTTTTAGGACAACTTGTTAATATGACTTATAAATGAGAAGATAATCACTTTTCTTATTTTCACAGGACATTGTTTACAAGAGGTGAAATCTTCTGCAAACTCTTAAGAGAAAGAGGATGCTCTCAAGCTTAACTGACATCTATAAAATACTCAGCTCCCTGGAACCAGGAAAATCAGCTACTACTAACAAACCAAAGGCAAATACAAAATAAAAGCATTACACTTACTTAAAGCAACATACTAACATTCTGGTACAAACTAACACTGCTAACATTTACCTAGAAATAAGTTATTTTGACTCCTTTAAAAAAAAAGAAGAGAAACACAATACAAAGATGCTCACACAAGTCAGGGAACGAGGTTTTTTTCTTCTTTTAAATTTCAATTGTTCACAAAACCCTACCTGACGTGAGAAAAGCTAAACAAAGCAAGGCAATGCTCTTCATAAAAGAAGGTCACACTATTCAGAAGAAAATTTATGCTTTAACATATACTGCAATTATTATGGCATGGAATGAAAAGAACTCAATATAACTACAGGCTTCTAGTAAACAGCACATCATGCGTCAATTCTTTCTGGATTACAGATACTTGTAAGAGATTCTTCAGTAAAACCCACCAAAAATAGAATGCAAAGTATAGGTTGACAAGGCAGAATAAACAGCTACAGAACCGGTAAGACTTAAGACGTCACAGGTTAATTAACTTTCTTGAACTGCTGGGGAAATACATTTCCTTTAACCCACTGTTTAAAAAGATATCTTTCATTAACATCTATTACCCCAGATAGGTTCAAAAATTAAAAAACTTACAACAAAGAAGTCAGTGTTAAAGGCGCTTTGTGTTTGCTCAGCATATAACCTTTATATAACTATTCTCTTTGTGAAAAATGGAAATTATTCTCAATTGTAATAGCTCCTTGTTAATTTAGAACAAGTTTCAAACCCCTCTGATCTGTTACTTTGAGGAAGATCTGCCCCATGAAAATAAAAATTTTCAGTATATCTAATTACAAAGTTTTAAGGAACTAACATGCAAAAATTAAGAATTTTTAGAATCTCTAGCATTACAAATTCTTTCCAAAACTGTTTGGAAACCACGATCATCTCCCACTGCTATCATATCATGTCCTGACTTACTAGTCATTTACTGAAACAGACACCTCCAAAGTATACTTGTATTATAAAATAATGGAATATTTAAAGTAGCAGTCAAATTCTTCTTTGTATTATGGCTTTCAAACACTTGGATACTGAAAGTAAACGAAAACTTGTTTGTGGACAGCTTTGAAAAATCACTATCCCTGAACACTTTCTTGTTATTTAGTAATATGCCTTCTAGATCTTTTGAATTATGGTTCCCTCAGTTAAGGTGCCTTCGAATTACAAGTTCTTTCACAATTCAGCCTAGGTGATGCAAGCATTTGTCAATCAATCCACTGTACCTTCATTTCTTCCACCAGCTTGCAGGAAAAAAGTTTGCACTCCCTTAACTTGGGAGACTTGACTGAAGAAAAAAACCCCACTGCTATTGCAAAATCTTGTGCTAATGATTTGACATGTCAACCTAAAACCAGAATGATCCTAAAGCACATAAAAAATTCATTCATGGTGTGTATCATCACTGATTTAAAACCCTGTATGGAAAAAAAGATCAGCTGAACCTCTTGCTGTATAACCGTAGGCAGAAAGCTTTCCAGAAAGATCAGACAGAATATGTACATCTGTGGATACAGCTGTACTAACTTCTGTACGTAACTTTACAATTATGCTACTGTAAAAACCCTGTCTATCTGACCACTGAAATGCAAAGATCCTCTGATGTCATCCCACAAAGTTCAGCTTTTCATACTTAAAATTCCTAAGCATATCTTTCTGGTTTAAATAATCTTCACATCCAGACTGGCTGTCTTTTCTCTGCCACACAGAAACATACTTATGAGAAATGCTCTGAAGCACCGAATCAACATGAAACAAGAACTCCCCCACCCCTTACTTCTAAGTAAAGAAATCTATCAACAGCAGAAGAAGAATGGGAGCAACTGACCTGCCAAGGATAGAAGAGAGGTGTCTGATCCAAAGGAACTCTCAAAGGCGCAACGATGACCAGTTCAAACAGAAGACCGAGCAAAAGCGGAACCACACCAGCTAGAAGCATAGCCACTATTAGGGTCTTCATTATCTAAAAATCCCAAGACATACATTTATCAGAGGATTCTTTTTGTTTAAACTTCAAAATGTAACTTAAACTACACAAACGGATAAAGCTGGAGAAAAAAACTACACAGACCTTTAATTCATACATATACACCCCTAGAAATAATTTTTATTACATACATAGTTTTGCAATGCAAGTTTTCAAGATTGGGCCCTATTCCATGCCCCCTCCAGAAAAAGGCATGGCTGTGCCTATTGGTGTCCATATAATTTTAAACCATAAAATCACTTTTGAATGTTATCAGTAAGGAATACTATGCCATGGCACTTCATTACATTGAGTATTCTTGTATGTTGGAAATCTAGAGAAGAATCTTTCCAAACCTGCCGATTTTTCTCCAGTGAAAAACCAAACCTTAAAAATTCACTCATTATGGAATATTTCTGACTTAAAAATGAAAGACTCAGAATACCATGCTTCAATCTTTCTTTATTCTAGAATTCTCTTAATTTACCTGCATCATGCAAAAATCAGATACAAAACTAGTCTGATTTCATTTACATGATCAGGAGAAGGGACAAAGGACAAGTAGGGCATTCTATTCTACCTCTGAATTTTCTTAAACAAGCTTAAGATTTCCTAAACGATAATGATGAATGAGGTAATTGGGAATGTGGTAATATATGAAATATATATTTACACTGCTGTTCTGTCTGGAATAGCCCACTAAGCACACAAGCATGTCCATTACAAGATACCATTTATGCTATGAATGTTTAAAATGACTATACTTAGGCAAGAAATCTACTATAGAAATCCTCAAAACCAAAACCAAGATAAAAAGGTGGGTATACATTTGTTGCCATGGTGAGAATCTGAACTCCTGGTAATAAAGAAAGGTTATTTTCTTTAAAAATGTTAATTTGAACAACACAAAGATCTGACAAATCATAAAGAGCTTTCTGAAAATATGCATCAGGCTACTTTGTAGGGATACATTCATCATCATCTATCAGCTTTACTTTTTTTTATTTGATAATTTCAAGTTGCTAATTGAGTAATAGTTGAGCTTCCAGGTGAATGTGAAAACGTAAATGTGTTTGATGACACATCACATATGGGATAACAAAATGCAACATATCAACTTTTAAAGGAAAACAGAAAAACATACATGTATATATAAACATATATATGCAAACTTATTTACATGGATTGCTTAACTTTGGGCTAAATGGCTTCCAAAAATAGTCACCCTAAGCAATGGGAACACAAGCTGCAAAAGCTTCAAATTGGTCTGAAAAGGAAAATGCTGTATACATTACAGAGTAAAGCCTGCAAGAAAAAAAAATGAAACCAGTTTTGTTAGCTACTTTTTTGATAATTCAGTAAAAAATTTTCTCAAGACTCACCATGAGAGACCATTCTTTGACCTTCTGAAAAATCACTCTACGACCCTGTGGCATCCAGGCGACCAGCACTGTCACTGCTCGGATAGTTAGCCAACAGACATAAAGACCACAAGCAGCTGTGTACAGTTCATGGATTTTGGCAGTCCCCGTCCAAAATGACATTAACCATCGGCCAGCAAACACTGAAAACACAAACACTGTTAAATAAGAGTAATTCTTTCTGATTTATTAAGGAAGGATGCCTATTAAAAAAATACTTATCAAATTTATTGTTAAATATCAATGCACAAATGGCATTCAGCATAAACCAGTATTTTGGTACTATACCCATAAGGCATGAATGTGTGAAGCATGACATAAATAGTTACGTAGGTGATACCAAATACATATGTAGCATTTATTTTTTTCCTAAAATTTCATTACACCAGCTATGTGGTCTGAACTACAGCAAAACAAAGCACTGCATACTATACTACTCAGAGACTATACACTGATCTTCAGAACTGCTAAGGCAACAATGGATTAGTGCATAAGCTTGAACTTAGATCTTGCAAGCTATGTTTGGGTTATTTCACTGCCTCACATAATTTTTAAGACTTACTGATGGGGCTTCTGAAGTTCTCCAACAAAAATGGGAGACTCATTCGCTACATTTAATTTTTTAATGGTGTTTCTATTCACTAGTATTATAGTGGAATTATTTTATGTACTGCTATTAAAACCATCACAAAATTCATAACTCTGATCTCAACAGATCATTGACTTTAGCATCATTAATACAAGGAGGTAAAAATGACATGGTACTATGGCAGCCAGGTTACAAAGTTCAAGCGAGTTTAAAACCTGCCAAGTGTTTTTGATTTGGTTAAAGTACATATATTTGTAAATATTTGGGAAGTGCCATATATATCCATGTGACCTATTCTGATGACTCCTTCAGAACTTTTAATTGAAGAAGATACTGTAGAAGACCTGGTAACAACCTATATATTTTCCTTCTCTAAATGGTAAAGCAAATGCAAGAGTATCAATTCTCTTCTTCTCTCAATACTACTACAGAGGTTGTCTCAGCACTTGGAACCCTGCCCTTAAAAGAAAATTATTCTACAACAAAACAAAGGAAATGGCAATCTCTGTCATTTAAATACAGATATTATCTCTATCATTTTGATTTTACTTTTACAATTTGATGATATACCATTAAAAAGAAGACATAATTTTCCATATTTTCTCCTTCTAACTTCAAACAGTGTTTTCAAAACATCTGCCGTTGTTGAGCATGGCAACATGCTGAGTTGTTTTAATCACAGTTTTACAATACTAGACTTACCTGGTAAGGTAAGGCAGATAAGACTAGCAATCAGTAATGTTATGCACATGAAAACAATCAAAAGAAATATCTGAAAGAGGAAAAAGAAAGACAGTTTATAAGGAAGTTATTTAATCAAAGCCAAAAAAACCATATAAAAAGATGTATCATCCTAGAAAGGCAGCTAAACCCGAATGTTCAAATAGCAACTAATGTTTCACTGTAGCAATAAATCAGGGATAAGAAACCTATCCACAGTACATGCAGCACACCTACAGTGTTTGCAACACTTGTCACAACAGTAAAAATTAACATTTGAATCCAGAATGACTAAAGTTTTCTATTATGTTACATTAAAAAATAATCTCTTTATTTCTGCAGTGACCACAACGATTCGCAAGTAACCCTGAGTGGTTTCTAGCTCTGTATGCCAGATAAGCAAAGACAGTGGTTTTATAATACGGAAAACCTTGCTGAGAAAGTTCTTCCAGATGCCCTCAGGTTCATGTGAACAGCAGCTGACAGCAGAGCTGGTGGATCTTTAGTCAGGTTTACAGCTTATCAGAGGATTCTCATGTACTTGACTTCTTTAAATATTTGAATGTCTCAAGCACCATGTGCTATGAAGTTCTGCTTCGCTAATCAAAGCCACACAACAAGCAAGCTTACTATGAGAAAAACACCACCTTATTGTAACAGACTGCTAAAAGAAAGTTAGATCTATAACACACATTTTCTTGATGAGACTTTTGGTGACAACACGGATCAGTTTTATCTCTAGGTTAGGTTAGGATCTTCAGCACTGCTTAAAGGAAGGAAAATCTTGTGATTTTGCAGACATTACCCTGCGTGAAAAGGGAATGATTCCGCAATACCCCATTACTTGCCAGGTGACATCCACATACCCTTTTTCACACAGAATACTCTCTTTGGGGTTAGGGATCCTAAATGACAGAAAGAAGAAAACAGGAGTAGCTGACAACTGGACTGCAGGCAAAAAAACTTCTCAATGGTGAGGAATGCATGGTGCAACTTGCTTGGGACCAATACTGTCTAAATTGTTACTTAGAAAATGCTAGGGGAGTAAACAACACATAAAGGACTAAAGCTGATATGAAGCTTTTGAGCACCATACACAGCTGCTTCTTGGATCAGTGAGCAAGAGAACGTACAAGAAGAAGAGGAAGTCTTGACTCGGACCTAAACAACGCACAGGCAGCTAGTCATTTGTATCGCAGAAGCAGCACTGACAGTGACTGCAATGTATTCAGCCTCAAAGATGTGGCAAGAACAGCCCTGCTCTCTCCAAAGTCCACCACAAAAATATTTCAAAAAAAGCAAACTAGCGAAAATGAGGACATTTATTAAAAGAATATTGAAAATAGTAGTCAAAATGAAAAATGCTCACAGGAGATGTGTTTAGATATACTGACATGAAGGTTTAGCACAAACTCACACTACTAGTCATGAGATTTAAAAAAAAAAAAAAAAAAAAATGTCTTGCCAAAGTTGTCACAGTAAACAGTAAAATAAAAATGGCTTCCAGAAGATATTTCCAGAAGTTGGAAATAAGTGCACAGGGGAAAAAAAACCAGAAAATGGATGAACTCTGGTAAGTGCAATTCAAAACTACAGTAGGACAAGCCAAAAGGCATTTTAGAAATAACATACCAAGTCTATGAAAAGTATTAATAAATTTAGTTTTAGAGATTTTTTTTTAAAGGATCAACAATAAAGTAATAAAATTTAAAAATCCTCAGAAGAAAGCATGCCAGAGAGTTTGCAGGCTCTGCTGGCAACTTTGGATCATGAAAGGAAGGCTAAAGGAAGACAAGGTAGTAGCAGGAAAATTGAACAAATTCTACACATCAGCATTTCTCCTGGAGAGGATTTGGGAGGTTCCCGCAAAAGAACCTTTGCTTAAAAACAGAATGAGTTGGAAGAATTATCTAGATTGCCTGATAAAACTGATGATAGGCTTTTATGTAGAATAAAAAACAAATCTGATCTTTTTGAGATTAACAGTCTGTACTTAATTAAATTTAAAGAAAAAAAAAGCAAACCCATAATTTTACATGCTTATTTGTAACTGAAATAACATGAAGGATCAGTTCTGACTGCTTGCTCAATCCATATGGACATGATGAGTGAGTTCTAGTGGAAAACATTCATACATAATAAAAACTGAAAATAAACCACCTTCTTCTAGGTTCTTACAACTCAGTTAAAATGAAAAAAAAATGAAAGCATAGAAAAGATCAGATGTTTACACTGGTTTTCTTTTTTTTTCTCAAATGCTGTTGTAGTTTAACCTGGCAAGCAGCTGAACACCATGCAGCCACTTGCTCACTCCCCACTCTCCCCAGTGGGATGTGGGAGAGAATTGGAAAAAAGTAAAACCCATGGGTTCAGATAAAGACAGTTTAATAAAACGACAGAGGAAAATAACAACAATAACAGACTATACAAAACAAACGATGCACAATGCAATTGCTCACCACCCGCCGACTGATGCCCAGCCCGTCCCGAGCAGCAATCGCCAACCCCTGGCCAGCTCCCCCCAGCTTATACACTGAGCATGACGCCATATGGTCTGGAACAGCCCTGTGGCCAGTTGGGGTCAGCTGTCCTGGCTGTGCCCCCTCCCAGCTTCTCGGGCACCTGGCAGAGCAGGGGAAGCTGAAAAGCTCTTGACTGGTGTAAGCACCACTTAGCAACAACATCAGTGTTATCAACTTTCTTCTCATCCTAAATCCAAAGCACAGCACTATGCCAGCTACTAGGAAGAAAATTAACTCTATCCCAGCTGAAACCAGGACATATGCTTAAAATCCCAATTGAAAGAGTAATTAAAATACTGCGTTGTTCCATAGTAGAAGTCTATGCCAGAGACACATTTTTCATATGACAAACTTATCCAGGTAGAACCAAGGTCAATATACCAAAAATCACAACTGCATCACTAACAGTGACCCCGAATAATTCATTATTTAAATGTTTCAAAACAAGTGGAAAAAGAGGGACACAGAATCCTACCAGGGACCTATCATGTGTTTGAGATTGTGTAAGTGCTTGTCATATTTCTTGATGAAAACAACAGAAAGAAATTCGGTTAAGTCAGATTTTGGTTTTGTTTCTGTATTCTGTAGATGTCTCCAAAGAACAACTTAAATGCCTAGACGAAAGTAAGTAGACCAGAAAAAACAGTCTTTTGACAGCTGAATATAAAACTGCTTAGTTGTTATCACCAGTTCAAGGTCAGCACCCCAAATTACTGAAAGCTTACACTACGCAATGATTTGAGAAGGGGAGACAATTTCAGCACATGTCCTTATCCAGAGGCATCCACAAAGATAAAATAACCCATGCAAAAGTAGTTCTAGAAAGGTTTTAATGAGTCCCTAGGTTAACACACCCCCTCCTTGAAAGCAGCATGTCCACATTACAGTTGTTCTATATTGCCAGGTCACAGTAAGTGAGAATCCACTTTAGTTACCTCTTTAGTGGCCAAACAGGGAACTAATTTCAATTAACCTGTCCGTCATCCCAGCAACTTCATAAGAACTTCACTCAGTGTAAGTGAAAGTGTCATATGTATCATATTTTCTTTAAAAATAACATTGTAAAGTCTTATCTGAACTTTCAAACATGTCTAACTAATGCCTTTTCCATACTATCTCAGTTTTCAGCTGGACCAGTTTTCTGTTCCAGCTCATCATATGTATGTTCTTGCACAAGCATTCATGCTAAGAAGGAAAGAAGGGAGTAATTGCCATGGAAAGGAGACTGGCACCACTCCTTTCAGCAGTAAGTGCATATTTATGCTAGATTAAATTGGTCTTGGTCGGAGGATGCTTTGACTTCCTGTTATGACCAAACTGAGGCAGCAGCAGCTGCTACGAGGGGGGCAAATTCATCCTGCTTCCCTAGCCTTTCATCCCTGAGCTACTTCCTCCCGCTGTTTCATCTGCAGCAGTGTTGTATCTCATGGATTCCTGTGGAGAGCCATTTTAGAGAGTAATAACAGCAGCGGAGGGAATTAACTCCCCACTCGTCCCCGCAAAAGCCCCAGCTTCAAACACCCAGAAGCTCAACAGCTGTGAAATCCTAAAATACTTTCAATTTCGCTTTAGTTCTACTAGGTTGAGATCTTTAGGGAAATAATAAAAAAGCAAGCTTTATTTTGTACTTTGTTATGAGAATTCTGGTAGATTCAGCATTTTAAGGAAACTTAGAAGCAATACACACTGTTCTAACTTTAGCCATTACTTCCATTATTGAGCTATACCTGAAACCACGGTAAATGAGCTGTGTTTAAGTTTATATTTGATTCACTGAAGAGTTCTGGTAACAACAAAACAATTTATCTAATTTGACCTATATATTATTCTAGAAAGTTAAGTATTTGCCAACCACGTTTCCTTTCTTACCGTAGGGATTTAGAACTTTCAAGTATTATAACACCTTTCTGTGTTTAATATAGATGCAACAGGAATTCTCCATTTAATTTCTTAATAAAGCAAAGAAGTTTAAAATAGACTTCAGCTACAAGACCAAAGTATGCCCTCTTGAAAGCCATGCCTTGTTAGCGACGCTCCTGAACTGCCTGCCCATTATTAACCATTAAGAAAATAAGACCTGAACTAATCTATAATACACAACATCTATGGGTTCTATAAATAAAATGGTAATGGAAGGTCTTCATTTGTAGGTTGAAAAAGAGCTACTTTTTAGAAAGAGACAGACTGTACAAAACTCAAAACAACATGACCCACCACTTGACATATGATAAAAATTGGGCCAAATCTTTTTTTTTTTTTTTTTTTTTTTAAATTATACCCATTTTTCAAATGCCCTTCCTTTTTCTCTTAATGTGCTAGATATACCTACCCTGAGCGGGAATTTTAAAGGCCTACGATAAGGCTGGAAACCCACAGGTCCTCCTTGTTGAAGTATGGCTTGATGGGCTGCATGAAGACCTTCTCCCACAACTGGAATGGCATTATTATTGCGAGCATGCTGGTTGTTAGGCTGCTGGTTTGCATTGTTTTCATTCTCTTCCTGGTCACCAAGCAGGTAAGAATGGAGATCCCTATAACAATCAAAAGTTCATTTTTGTTCTGTTTGATATGAATGAGAGTCTTACAGTAAGTGCAAGTTGTACAAAACTTATACAGAAGTACTGGAAGAATCTCAATAAAGTAAAATAAACCATTTTCTGGTAATGTACTCCATGTCATCCTAAACACAGAATTTATAAGAAAAATGATACTGTGGATACAGATTAGAACAGTGGGAATACAGCCACGAATAAAGATGACTTACCTGTTTGCTTTAAAAACAACATCTGGTATTAAAGTTGTGCATATAAAAGGAAAATTGCATTGATATTTCAGTTCGTATAAGCAGGCAGCTCAACTGACAGCTTTTACTTTACTGCTACTAAGCTCTATTGGAAACAATTGCCTTCAAACCTAAACTGTACAAGGACAGTACTGTATTGCTATAGACATGTTTTCAAAAGAACAGAGTCAGGCAGAGTCTTTCAAGAAGACTCTAAATTGCTCAAAACGTGTTCACAACTTTCTAAGAACATCAATCCTAGAAAGAGTCAATCAACTTTAGAAAGTATTCCATTGACACTTCCCGCACACATCATTAGCAAATAGATATTTATTTGAATCTGATTAAAAAAACCCCAAACCTAATATGAACATTTAGAACTTAATTTTCCTCTGCTTAAGCAGAATTTTTATTAGCAGTAAGATGCATGCAGATATTGGCAGACAATGAAAACATTTTCACAGCAGTCTGCTTTTAAAAAAAAAAAAAAGCAGAGGAAAAGATTTTCATCTTTGTTCAACTAAAACTGCTGAAGAGATATTTCACAATGGTTATTAACAGCTGCAACAGTGGAGAAAGGAAAGCCATTTCTATCATCATCTCTGAAATTCTCTTCTTGCGTCATACTTAAACAGTAGCAAAACATGGACACATTAATTCAAAAAATAACTTTCCAAAACGCAAACTAAGAGAACAGGGAGTGGGGAGAGTTTCCTTATGAGAAGCTAAAATAAATATTTTGGATTGCAGTGGAAGGAAAAAGTCTTTCATTCATTTTCTCAGAGTCTCAGACATAACTTAGCAAAGAATAAATCTTCATCCTAATAATGCTACATTGGCACAACCCACAATGAGCAAGACATGGTGGAAGAATGCCAATATACTCTGAAGTTAAATTTAAAACTGTATAGAAACAAAATCTACCTTAAATTTTTCTTGACTAATCTGGCAAAGAACATATGAACTAAAAAATAATTTCAAGTGCTAGAACTCTGCCTGGCAGTCTAAATTAAAGAACGTCACTTCGTATAATCATTTACTTTAGCTGACAAAGATACAGTTTTATTCTTCTTTAGAGACTTAACTTTTAACTTTAAAATCCCAATGTAAAGGTATTCACTTCAGCTTAACGTTCTAAATAAGTTTTCCTCTTTTTTTCTCTTTCTTATAGTAAAAAATGCAAGATGTGCACATTAATTTTACTTAGATGACTCATGGAAATGGTCTGCTGACACCTACTTCTAATTTTTCCATGTAATAGGAAGTTAACGAATTGTTAGTCATGCTTTTATAGATTTTTTTTCTAACCAAATGCTGTAATAGTGTACCAAAAGAATTACTTGTCAAAGAATAGTCCAGAAGTAGGTACGAGCACTACTTAGAATAAGGTACCTCCATAGGAAATCACCTATAGAAGTTTTTCATCACGTATTTATCTGTAAAATGTGAAATAGCTATTAAAGCTACTTGTTGGGATAACTCTCTTGAAAAAGCATGCTGCTTTCACGTCAAAAGGCTAAGCTGGACACAATGCTTGTAGTTGATTTTTGCTTTCTGTACTTACAGCAAGTATCCAGCAGTAACAGTCCATGCTCGTACAAGACCTTTCAACCACTGTCTTGTATGCCCTTGTTCTAGCAAAGCTGGAAGCACCACCTGAAGCAAAAGGAGCTCTAGGGAAAGTTCACTTACTGGAGCATCACTAGAAACAATAGGAAGAGCAGGAAGTCAAACATAAGGAACATTCTGATAGCAGTCTTTTACACTGAATCATATTAACACCACCACAATAAAAAATATGTTGGATGCCAACAGGAACAATTCTTAAGTTTTTTGCAGACATTTTTCCTTATATACTACTCTGAGCACAGGTTAAGTGTTCATGAGAGTTTAGGCACTTAGGCACACAAGAAATTTAAGAAAAAACATTGAGAAAGATTGTATCAGAGAATATGATTTGCTCTTCTATTTGCTTCTATCATTGCTGTTTCAATTATTATTTAGAAACAGAAAGATACTGCTATCATTATAAATGAAGTTACAGATATTCTTTTGTTCTTGAAGCAATGATAATCAGAAATGAATGTGGAAAACACTTTTCTAGAACAATGAGGTTCAGATTAATTGAAAGCAAACAAAACATATGAAACAATGTCACATTAATGCTCAGAGTGCAAATGCACATTTTTCTAGTTATAGGGAGACTGAAAAACATCTTTTTTAAGTTGAATGCTTACCTGTAGAGCATAACATTATATGGAAGAAAGTTAGGCAGGAGATACTTAATAATGCGTATAGGAAGCCAAAGCATGAGCAGTACAATTGATCCGAAGACAATCTGCAATGAGAAAGTTAAACAAGTTAGTCTGAATAGCAGAAACAACTAAATCTAGTTCCCCACCCATCCCTCTGACATGTTTCCTGTATGTGGTGGGTTAGCCCTGGCTAACAGCCAAACACCTACCCAGCTGCTCGCTCATTCCCCTGTCCACCTGAATGAGTGAAAAATAGAAGGAAGGCAAGAAGACTTGTGGATTGAGATAATGACAGTTTAATAGAGAAAGCAAAAGCTGTGCGTGCAAGTAAAACAAAAAGACTAATTCAGTCACTACTTCCCATCAGCAGACTGATGAGTAGCGACTTCCTGGAAAGCAGGGCCTCAGCACATGTTAACAGTTGCTCAGGAAGACAAATGCCATAACCATGAACATCACCCCCTTCCTCCTCCTTTCCCACAGCTTTTACTGCTGAGCATGATGTCACATGGTATAGAATACTCCTTTGGTCAGTTTGGGTCAGCTGTCCCAGGTATTCGCTTATTTGCTGGAGGGGTGAGGGAGCAGGGCAGAGCAGGAAAGAGGAAACGCCTTGATGCTGTGCAAGCACTGTTCAACCATAGCCAAAATGGCTGTGCGTTACCAACACTGTTTCAGCCACTAATCCAAAGCACATAGGCTGCTAAGAAGAAAATTAACTCCATCCCATGCAGACCAGTATGCGATGATGCCCTCATCAAACAGAACTGTGGCTGAATACGCACTGGCTGGCCATCTGACAGGATAATGTCAGACAATTCTACTTGCTTACCCCTCCCCTGGCACTGGGATTACTAATTTTGGATTCCTCTCTTTTCTTAGTGGCTGAGTTTCCAAGTAACTTGTAGAAGCCTCAAAAGATCTTTCAGTTTCTATTTCCTCACATTTTAAATTGGATGAAAGACCAAAATTTAGTAGGGGAGATCAGGTGCATGAAGACCATGCGCTTTTATAAATCCTGTTTCCTTAAGGAACCAGATGAAAAAATCAAGTACATTTTAAGCACATTCTTACACTACATGTAAATGCACCACTAAAGAATAAAAATGCAAAAAAAAAAGTGTGTAACTATGTAAAAAAAGAAAAATCAAATTCCATTCTTCTTGAAACTTAATGGTTTTATGCTCTAAACAAGAAATTTCTTAAAAATATTGAGAAAGAAACACCACTTGAAAAGTGTGACTTGTTTTTTGAAATGGTAAGCTGTAAATGATTGCCATTCTGGGCCCCATATTCTAGCATGAGGCTGGTAGAAGTTCTGGATTAATTAGCTAAGCAAATCAAAAGGTGAAGTTCAAGTAACTACCAGTTCCAACACAGGTTGAGAACATAGCTTTCACTGCTCAAAGCACTTTAGATGTATTAATACAGTACGTCAGATAATGATGTTTCTGGTATATCAGTTTTCACAGTTGACATGACATTTATGTCAAAGACAGCCCGAGACCCTTCTTCTCTTAATGCATGCTTGGCAAACTTCAGACCAGACAAACAAGCAAACAGAAGAAGCTTTCATTGTTTTCAATATCTTACAGTGATGATCTGGTAACAGACACCACTGCCCAGATAAGCATAATCCAACCTAAAACTTAACTAGAAAATTGCTCTACCCCTGCTGTACTACTTTAGCTGAACTGGATGCACAATGTTTACTGCAATAACTAAGTGCATCATGAATGAGTTATCAATTTACAATATCCATAAAATAAACACTTGTCTGAATACACACACACTTCCTGTGATTTTGCATAAGGAGAAGGTAACACAGAAAAAAATGTTTTGGAAGGGACCGCTAGAGGCAAACTACCCCAGCCCCCTACTCTGAGCAGACCCAGTTACATCAGGTTGCTCAGAACCTTATCCAGTTGAGTTTTGAGTATCTCAAAAGATGTAGATTCTGTTGGCAACCTGTTCCAGTGTCTAATCACCTTCATTGTGCAAATGTTGTTCCTTAAATACACGGCAGCGTATATGGGAGCTAACATATGACATTTTCTTTCCAGATAAAGATATTTTTGAAAAAAGTCCTTACCACTGATAAGATAAACCTCCTGAGATGTCTATAAATGGGCAAATGAATCATTTCCTGCACAGGATTAAAATCCGGATCATTCAAATTCCTGAGAAACCATAAGACACCAGGTCTCAATACCTGAAGTAGGAAATAGAAAACAACATAAGTATCTTTGTGGGTTTTGTTTTTCAATTTTCACTACTGCAGCAAATAAGTTTTAAACATAATAGGGGTAATTTGTTGAACAAGGTTCAACTAAATGGTACAGAAATAGAACAAAGGAAGCATTATCACAGAGAAGTAGAGAAGCAATAACTAATTACAAGCTTAATGTTCAAGTATTAATCAATCTTAACCAACTGGAATGTATTTAGGTTCATTTGAAGGCAACACCCGTGTTTAAGAACTCTTTGTAAACTACAAATCTCTAAGTAAAATATACTCTAAAACATCACTGCAGTAAGTACCAGTGTGGCTCTTTTTACATAAGGCTGAAATCCAATATACACACACAAAGCACAGTAGCAGCAATACCCACATATGAAAGATTTAACAGTTCAACATGCAAACTTCTTTAACTATGTTACATACCAATCTTGTTCTTATAGACTTACCTCTCTCAGTAAAAGAATGAAGGACGCAAAATAAAAGACGTAAACCATTCCAACTAACCAGTGCAGAAACATTGTGGTACCTGGGGCAGACTGAAAGCTCAATTCTCTATCTTTCAAAGTGGCATCAAACATCTCCTAGAAGGTAAGTAGTAAACAAATATGAAGTTTGGCAAACCTCCAGTTATTTATTTTGTTTACCCTAGTTCATATATACTGCTAGGCATTTCATGTAGATGTTTGCCTTGTGCTAACACATAAATAATTGTAGCATTTAATTGCAGGGGGGGGGTGGGGGGGGGGAAGGGAACGACTTACAGTAAAAACAGCAAATAAAGATCAATTTCTTTCTTCTAACAGAAAGAAGAAGTCAACTCAAACACTAACATACACTACGTAAGTTATAAATTAGTCCAAATAAAGTGGCACTGTGATAGAAGCAAATACTCATTCCCTTAGTAAAAGTCTGTTTCTACTAAGGCTAGAAGAAATGAATTTTCTCCATTTGAAATTAATCACTTAATTTTTTTTGCAGGACAGAAAAACTGTCCTTCTTAATTCCAAGGAAACACAGCATGTATCTTGTTCAAAATAGAAAGAGATTGGACAACCATTAAAATATGAAGTCATTACCATTTCACGTAAGATGGGTACATAAAAAGTTTATTCAGTACACAAGTTTGCTGTAAGTAAGTTCATTATCACAGTGGTCTTGTAAATGCAGTAAGAAAGATTAGGATCTTATTACTTTAATAGCAGCATGTTAATTTGTATTTAGTAACGTGAAGGAAAACAAAACTAGCATTAAGCAGTACCTAAAAAACCGTTTGCCTCCAGAAACACTATGTTTATAAAAACAGAAGAGTGCTGTCAAATGCATATCAGCAACTCTCTTCTCATCAGAACATTTTTTCCTTTAAACACCGTTAAAACATACTTTATCGCATTTATTTCCATTCTTACCAAAGAGCATATATCCAGCCACCAGCCACAGATGAGAGGAAACACACCAATTTCAACCACCACTAACAAGGAAACCTTTAGGGAAAAAAAAGAACATCTCACTAGTTTAACAGAAATTGCTAAGAAAATTATAACATAAGCTTAAATTGAGAGGGTTTTTTGCTACATACACACACAAAAAGTAAGATTACCTTGACAACAATATAGCAAACGCCTAATAAACGACGTGATCGCTGAAATTTAACAAGTGCTGCCAAACCCTGAATAGTTTTGTCAAGAAAACGTTATTGAAAAATACTTTAAAACGTAGTTTGATTAATACAAAACACTGTATCATGTGGCTTTTAGCAAAAGGAAATTTTACAAAAGACAAAAGTGGGATAGGAAGTATGTATTTTATCATGGTTCTATTTTCAAAATTGACTGTGACTCTGGAAGTCACAATCTGATGTGCTGGCTTAGCCCCCCAAGCATGCATCTAAAATAAATGAATGAATAAATAAATAATAGTAAAACAACCCTTCTTATCCAAAAGTTTTCTCAAGAAATAAACAGTTGCCTTTGAAAATGTCTGCCATGAATAAGCAAGTTTCAAAACTGAAGGCCTACCTTAAATGGAAGCTTTCCTTTTCATGCAGTTTGAAACAAATTCTCACCTTTGACCATGAAAAGCTGGAGGCATACTACAATTTTGGGGCTTCTTTTGTTTTCTTTTAGGAGGCAAAACAGTCTCTGATTGCTGCCAATCAACTGTTTTACCACATTTGCACTGCACAGTGGTATAGCGTGGTCTAAAGTTGATGTTAGCTTTGTGCACTCTTGAACAGAAAACTAAAAAATGTTTATTCTTTCAAATTGAAGTTGGTGTAGTCCCTTTAAAAACATGCGGCTAGAATGCGGACTTTTTACTTGGAACCAAATCCTTCTAGCTTTCAGAACTCTGGCGTTACTTAATTTTCTCTGTAACAATGAGGGTTATCACCTGAAAGAGATCCTTGCTGCAAACTGTCAATGGTTCAGAGCCATAAAAGAGAAACTAAAATAACCCACACTCTAAAGATCTGTCAAGATCAAAAAGGTGTAAATTAATTTCCTATCATACCCAATGTATTTTCATAATCTCATTTCTCTTTCTGCTGCAACTACATAGCCCACAGCAATACTTTAAGGACAAGGAGGCAAAAAACAATGGTTCTACACTTATCTTCTCAGACAGACCTTCAAAATTAAGTTGGAGTTTCACGCAAGCATAAAAGCCTATGATTTTGTGTTAAACATATGGAAGCGTTCTGAAGAATGCAGTCACACTGACAACTTTTAAATGTCCAAGAAAACAGAAGAGATCTTTTCTTCTATTCAACAAAAGAGCAGAGCAAAACAGTAAATTAATTGCATCTGCATCATGTCTGTGTCTCCTGAAAATATAGCCAAATGATGACATGGAAAATCTGAACAGGGTAACTACTGACAAAAGGATACATGACAAACAATTAGAGTCACTGCTAGCAGAACATATCCGACTATAGTCGTAATCAGGCCTTCAAAATGAGATGCTTGAACCTGGAGGGGAGGGAAAAAAAGGGAAAGTTGATCTGTCTCTGAAGAGATTACATCTCTTTTTTATGTAATCAAGATAAATTCCAAATCTCAACTCTTCAAGAATGACAAGTTTCTTGAGTTTTTACATATTATAATAATCTACTACATTTTCTATCTCCATCAAGAGTAGAAAACATTTACATTTACTGGAAAAGTCTAACAACTTCTTTCTTCAAACATGAAACAACCTTTATATTTGAAACAGAAAGTGTCACCTTACACTACCTCACTACCTCCTAGCTTTCACTACCTGTTATCATCAACTATGAAAATTACTCAGTTCACAAATTAAAAATGTACATGAGGAACAATAGCTGTTAAAAAACCCAAAAGTATGCATTTTTGTGTATAGGGAAGAAACCTCACTTGGTATGTAAACAATGGAGGAAGTGGGAAAGAGGGAGATAACATTTTTAATCATAGATTAAAAAAGGTTTGAGGAGAAAAAAAAATGAGATATACTCCAGGTTACTTTTACAATCACAAATAAGCGGAAGCATGCTACAAAAATATTGTGATTAAATAGCTAGCAGCAGGGTTTTTTCATTTTGAAATTATAAACCAGTACTTACATATTCCTCAAAGCCCAGGCCAACAATGGAGAAGTGACCAATGTGGTATGGACAAAATGCTGCATAATGTAAGCAGAAAGAAGAGGAAAAAAAGGCCATGAAAACTGCTAAATGGAGCCTTATTTGCAGGATGTGTATTGTAACATAGCAATTATTCTACTTCCCATTAATTTTGTGAAAACAACTAAAAAATTTACTTTCTGTGCAAATATTTGCAAGTGTTATACTTTATAATTTTACAAAGACTGAAAATCAGATCAAAATTCACACTGAAAGACTACAAACAATATTAAAACTACACAGAGTAAGAGGGCAGTCTTTTCCTTCTTAGTTCATCTTGCTGTGTGTAAATTAATTAAATTTCTCAGTCTTACATACTAGGGTAGTATCAGCCTTGGACTGCTATAAGAAACTTTTTTGTATATTCGCTCTCTCCCATGCACTGAAGACTTAAGTAGCTATTTTACATCTTGGTCAGATGGGACTTGCTTTAGCAAGGTTTTGGTTTTAGTGCTCTAATTCTTAAGAATACTGTGAAAAATTCAAGCCCTGCAGAAATTTGCAAAGAGGAGAGAAGAAGAGTGGGAGAAAGATGACACTCCAGTGAAGGGATGAGGAGCAACTGAGAATTCTTCTACCCTGAATTAAAGTATTAAGAACCGTCATCATTCCTGAGAACTCACTCTTGCCAGTTCTGAGGTCTCAGGAAGAATGAGTTAAAAACCACATCACTTTCCCATTTTTGGAGACCTGTGTATTTGTAACAGGATCAAGTAGTTGTTTTAGCTCACTGTGGTCTTCTAGCCAAGCTACAAAGAACTATAGAATTCAACATCACTTTCCTACAGGAGGGAGTCAATAGGAAGTAAAGGGGCTGCAGTAACTGCAAGCTTTTATTTTCACCTATATTGCCTTCACTATAGCATGACAATCCACTCTGGGGACTACTAGAGACTAAGCATATCCTCAAATGAAAAGCCTGATGATTTTCGCTCCTCCTCATTTCCATATACCAATATGTAAAAAAAAAACAAACAAAAAAAAAACCACCAAAAAAACCCTACGAAAAGATTTAGCAGGACTTGTATTACTCTAATCAATGATCAGAAAGTCTTCATTTATGTCCCTTTCAGAGAAATCAGCAGCTACTGGGAAGAGCAAAAAAGTAAAAAATAAAGGGAGGACTTGAGCTCTTCCTGCCCAGTAAGAACAATAGAAAGAAAAGCGAGATGAAGAAAAAAGAAAAAAAAAAAAAAAAAAAAAATCACAACTCCTCTAGATATCAGACTCATGACTTAAGTCATATCTTTCTGACAGTGTTTTATGAGATTATAGTGCACAGTTTATCATGTTTTTTAAATAACTTTCTTTAAAAGAGAATTTCTAACAGATCCCTTTTAATAAAAAGCATGAAGGGGTTCAAACTCCTCTGCGAGTACTAAATTGAGCTATAGAAAATATTAAGTCAAACTTAATTAACTTGTCCAAGAGAACATCATAGGAGAATTTCTGGACCAGTAATTATGGTTCCAAACCTTTCCTTCTGTTTTATCTTCTAGGAAGTACCTCCTGTGACATTTAAACTCACCAGGACTGAGTGAGCGTTTAACTGAAGTTACTGAAAAACTAACTAAATTACAAATTACTAGAGATTTGGCAGTTGTAAATTAGACAGTATTACTTAGAGGGAAGGATACTAAAAATAGGCTTGAGAGGCACAAATTGAATTTCCAGATCTCCTGCTCGCTTGCTTGGGAAAGTCATTCCCCTTCTCTTCTCTGCTTGTTAGTTTCTCACTTGTTAAACCACACTTAGAGCTACTAAGAACGCATCTACATGACAACCTTATTAATTATCCTTATTACTCACTTATTATTTCATTTAAATCAAGTATTTAGAAATTTCATAGTTATTATTTACTTATTAAAAAAGCCTAAATTTTATAGTGGCTAAAAAAACCTAAGTAACTTCTGATAACTACAGATTAAAATAATTAGAACAACTAAATTTTTTTGTGAATTAAATACACAATAATTCTTTTTGATCTGCTGATTTGTTTCAGTAACTAGATGCTCAAATCTCTGGTTCAGGATTGTAAGCTTTACTTTGCAGGCAAAAATTCCTTATCTACAGTATGACGTCAGTTTTTAAAGCTCAAACTCTTCTGCCAAGAAAGACCACTCAAAAAACCAAAGCAACATAACCAATCCCTTTCTAAACTGGTAATTCAGAGCAAGTGAAATTTTGTGTTTGGTATCTCTTCAAGTGTATAAAATGCTCCATCTTGTCACTAAGATGCTGCTGCTTCCGCACACAGTTTTGTCAAATTAACAACACTAATGAGTTCAAGAATCATAATCCAAAAGCTTCTCTTATTAGTGAAAAACACAAAACTGCCGCACAGGGAAGAGCTGTTATTCTCCCATGTCACTCAACAGGTGTAAGGTACCAAAAAAAAAAAAAAAAAAAAAAAAAAAAAAAAAAAAAAAAAAAAAAAAAAAAAAAAATCTGACTCACAGTCTAATGCCTCTCAGGAGGGTCTTAAAAAAATAAATAGGTATTTCTAAGTTTGTTGCCACCCTTTCTGTAGTAAAACCAGAATGGAAATGCAGATTTACCCTACATAATGTAAGCAGTAAACAGAAAATAGGAATTCCAGTAACTCTCAATGGGGAGCTTACTGGTATTTACAATAAGGCAGGCATTTTACCCTTTTCTTTTAGGTTTCCAGTGATTGAGAAATATACTCCTACAGTTTGGGGATTTTTTTTTTTTTTTTAAAGTTGTGACAAGTTTATGTCCAAGAAATTTTCCTAGCACTAACTATACATGCAATCAGAAAATGGAAATATTCCTATCTTGTACTAGAAATAGAGAGTCTTGCAAACATTTAAAGTTGCAATTCAGCGCCAGTATCTACAGGAAGGAGAAAGGAAAATAAAGTAAAACACACCACTGATTAGAATTTACTATTTTCTAAAATTTAAGTCAGTCTAAGTTGCATGAACGAAGGAAAGTTTTTCTGTAGCAATTTTGGACACAAAATAAAAGTATATTTGACAACCCTACACAGCCAACTACGTTCTTGCACACCCCCTTCTTCCCAATTTTGAATATTGAATTTGGATTCTTGATGGGAAAAGTGATTTAACTATATCTACAGAAAACTGTAAGGAGAAAAAAAAATATCCTGCCATTTGTAAAAGTACTGCATTTGCTCATGAATTAAATTCCAGGAGGTACCTCCTTTAATTTAACAGTATTCCAAACAAATATTATTTTCTGTGCTTTGGTTGACATCATTAAGCTTTTGGTAGATTTCCAATTTTAAACCTATTCACTTAAAGGAATTAAAACGACAAAACTAGAAGCATTAAAGATTTATTATTCACATCCCCGGTTTGTTTGTGGTTCCATTTTCAGATGTCACAACTTCATTTTTTTCTGAGAGAAAAAATTAACCTGCATTATCACTTCACAAAGAAGGATCCTTATAAAACCTGAGATACTTACCAAACACAAGTATGAACAACGTATTTAAAGATACCACCCAAAAGACATGTTCCTGTGAGGAGTACGGGGGAAGGAGGGAGGAAGATGACAAGGAAACAGTACATAAATATCAGTCATTTAAATAAGTGACACTACTTTTGTATCTAAGCTTCTTATTTCAACTGCCTATTATTACCAGAACTTGCACATCTCATGTTAAAGCCAAGAAATTTACTCTAACACAAAGACCAAACCATGCAGGACAGATTATGAAAGCATCTGTTTACATTCATAGACATTTACTTATATCAGAGCACTTACATTTGCTTTAATACTTTTACTTTGTAAAAATAAGCTTTGATTTTAAAAATCAATATAAATAGTTCCACCCTTAAAAACAATTACATGAAACGTATGTGGATATTTGTTTTATAAATGAGAAAACATTAATCTGAACTTGTAACAATTAGGCTTTGTCACAAGGAACCAGTGAACAAAACTGCCAGCTCTCACTCCAAAAATGACAGCACGTCTCTATTTTTTAATATTACTTTTAGCTAAGATGTGAACTCAGCCATAAGTACACTGGAATTTTAATTATTTTGACAGCAATATTTAAGGTCAACCACTAATGACATAGTAGGCTACATTATTTTAAACATGAGACATCACATTAAAATATGAGACATTTTATTTCAGACAGAAGACATTTAGCCACTACAATACCTAATAAACACATTCATATTTAAGAATTGCATTTCTTTCACACATTAAGTAAAGTAAAATTTATACTGCTGGAAGAGAGCACAGATGTTTTTTCCCTTTAAAATACAAATAACTTCTCTTTTCAAAACAAGTGATCTGGCAGATGATACCCAATGAATGTAGCTGTGATGGGTTAAAGTTTTGTTGCCATGGACTCTTTGACCCCGAAGTCAGAGCTAGACATCTCTGACAGTCAGGTAGGATGGGCAGCAGAGGGTGCCCTTCAAATAAACTATAAAAAAGCCCACTAAATGATACACATTATATATTGTAAGAGTTTGTCAGGGAGATAACCAACACGGGTTCACCCACAGACAAGACTTAAAAAGCCAACAGCCTTTTTAGGAGTGCTTTGCTAAATTATCATAAAGATTTTTGGAACCAATTTAAAATATATGTGCTCCAGAAGATAGACTGACTATTGTGGAGATTTTTAACAAAGATTTGATACTGATATCAGTTAAAATAATATTCACAAAGAGAAAAATTCTAGGGAAGAACAAAAAAGACCCCAAATAAAAATCAAGAAACCTAACTGAAAATCTTAAATTTTAAAATCTAGTCTACACTAAAAATTCACTAGTGGTGTTCTGGTGGTATTAGGGAAAATCAGAGAAGTCTGAATGAGGACACTAATTTGATTATAACATAAAACTTAAGGCTAGAACAGATATGTATTTACAGTGCATGCTTTTTTATAGGGTCTAATATTTATTTACAGTGGAGTATGTGATCCAAAGTTACCTATTTCTTTTAAGAAATTCCACTTTTATGACACATACACACAACTTTATTCTGTGAAACTCCTAAAAAAGACAGTTTGCTTGAACATGACATCATATGAAAGTCTCTTTAAAGAATATATATCATATGAAAATAGGGACTTCAAATATGACAATATAATCTTTAAAAATACAGTTTACTTTTTTTAAAAAAAGCCTTCTACAGAAATTCTTGAAATGCAGGATTTCACTTACTAAAAAAACCAGAGATCCATCCAGTCCGAGCATCTGTGAAGACAAGAAAGTTAATTTTATTTAGTCATCAGAAAAACTAAGCAACGTGCATCTAAAATAAGCCTCATAGAAGCCTCTTTCACACCAACTTTTAACATCCAATACAGTCAAAACCTTTTTTTAATCGCTCAACCAAAAGGACCTGGACATAAATTCCTAAGGATAAAGACAGAAACTAAGTTCTTGTTCAACACAGTAAACTCAGTTGATCAAAGGCAGTGATATACATGTGTAATATCTTCATACACACGTATTTATATATGGCAAACCAAACATATAATCAATTAATTTACAGGCTATTTCTCTCCAAGACTTTGAAGACTGACAAAGATTTTGTATTTATAAAATATTTTAGTGATTGAACTGTTATTTAAAAACATATTTAAACAACTCAATATTAAAATACAAAAGCAATCTTTTTTCTTTCCTTCCTAATTGCAAAGTATCAGCTTATGTTGCACTAAGAAAAGTCAAAGGTTAGTATTTTACCTTCAACGTATAAAAGCAACCAGTAACAGGATAGTGTTGCTACACTGTCTGTTATTAAGTTTAGAACAGAATTGGTTTACAGCTAGGGAAGACAGGAAACAAATCCTCCACCACTCTGCACAGCTGTTATGGGAAGCATCCATAGAACAGCCAAAAATAGAACTTCTATTAAAAAAAAAAAAAAAAAAAAAAAATCTCCTTTCCCCCCACTTCAAGGATTTCTTACTATTTCAATCCAGGCACTCCTACTCCAAAATTACTGCTGTAAAGTAGCAGGTTCAAGGCTGGTTTGTACAAGGATTTTGCACTAAGTTCCACGACATTAAAGTTGCAATATTTTTGAAAATTCAGAAAGGTTGCATGCTATTTGCACAAAATGAAATAGCAGAAAAGCCTACCCCACTTTTGATACTAAACGCCAGCTAGATGTCTATTGCCTGTACCAGCACATAGGATTGGAAAAGATTAGGAGAGTTTGCTGAAAGTGATTTCCATATTCATGGAGAGGCATCAAAATATTTTCCTTTAGGAGTACATCAACATTTCCCTGCACATATATTGGGTTCAGAAATACAATGCTTTCATCTTGAGATACATAGTAGAATGGTTTAGAAACCTGAATTTGTGTATGTCTGTTTTCACTATCTTTCAAAACAAACTAAGAAGTTTTCACTAGATACAAAAGAAAGATCAAGACCTGTCCCTTGTGATGAAAACTGTATTTCTACTACACTACCATCAAGGCAACCACCGTATCACAGCCTGGGACGCAGCGACTAGCTTTACAACTGTCTGCCACAGGCACTAGTGGTGCTGATACAGCAGCTTGATGTGATTTATCTACCTTCAGGTAGATTTTGCTGCATGCGGTGAGCTTTGAACTCAGATGTTGGCTACTTTAAACCAGCTACAAAAAACTACTTCTTGAGTCTCTACACTACTCTATCATTACAGTGTACATGCATCTGATGCTCTAATTATGGAATTTGTGATCCATAAACAAAACAGAAGCAATGTAACATTAAAATGCTCCATCACTTTTTATGAAATACATTTGTCTTTTGTAAATATGTAAATAAAGTAAATTAACCAAAATTTCCAGTTCTCTTTTCTTTAGTTTAATGCTTTAATGAACACAAAAATTAAGCATTAAATCATACGTAACACAACACCTGTGCCCTCCGAATCTGGCCTAGCATCCTCAATGCAAGCTGCAATTCATTTCTAAACGTGACCAAGTTGAAGACTTCAGAAAAATCTGCGCTAAAACACGTTTTAAGCTGCTACTATATTTCAAATCAAAGAAATGCCTTTTTTGATATTTAAGAAGTGGCATAACAACATTTTGGTTTTAATAGAATGACTTTTTTAGGTCACTAAAGCCTCTTACTGATAGTTTTCACACCAGACAATAGTATCCAAATCTATCCCAAATGGATTTTAACATAGCAATGATACAAATCATTTCAAGTATGAGTCTGAATTAGTCAATTCACGAAAATTATTCTTACTCACTCGCTCCCAAGTAAGCTCTTCTGCTGCTCGATCCCATTCCAAAGCATTCCAGTTCATGTCATCTGAGGAGACAATGGCCATTTTTACAGCTGTAGACTCACCCAAAACAAGACGTAACCACTCTGTGATATGTTTTAAATTAATAAAGACTTAAGTGCATAACATGCAGCTCATAACTGCTGACAGCTTTTCGGCAAGCAAATGCTTCAGCACTCAAAAGAAATATATGAAATTTGCAAAACCAAGACAAATAAGTTGAACTGGGAATTTACACAGCTTCCTTGAATTATTACAGTTCTATTTGTAATGGTTTGATTTATGTTTAAAAAGAACTAGAACATTACTGGTTTGAGTCACCTGTTACCTTGTGCTCCATTGTTTGCATCTGCTGCATCTTCTACTACAGCATCTTCTTCATCTTCATTATCCTCCTCCTCTTCATCTACTTGTTCTTCTTGAATTTCAGGGTTCTCACCTACAACTACATTCTCAGCAGCTGGGTTAACAGGTTGATCAAGCACGGCATTTTCAACACCTCCATTTACAACAGCCTGAGCCTGCAGAAATAGGATTTAGTATTGTTAACTTGATCAACCTCTCTCTGTACATAGAAAAAATGAGCAGCATTAAAGAAAATGTTAATAATGTATTTTTTTAGATAAGCATTAAATTTGGGGTTACTAAACCTTTTAAAAGAGGAAGAGGAACATTCAGACTTCTTCACAGAGTAGCTGAGGTTGGAGAGGGCCTCTGGAGATCATCTAGTCAACCCCCCTCCTCAAAGCAGGGTCAGCTACAGCAGGTTGCTCAGTGCTGTTTCCAGTTGGCTGTTGAGTAACTCCAGAGCTGGAGACTTCCCAACCTCTCTGAGCAACCTGTTCCAGCAGTTGACCACATTTACAGTAAAAAACAAAACAAAACAAAAACCCCCACATCTGGTTTTTTGGCTTTTTTTTTTTTTGTCTAAATGGAATTTCCTGTATTTTAATTTGAGCCTACTGCCTGTTGTCCTGTCACTCAATGCTACCAAGACAACTCTGGCTCTGTCTTCTTTACATCCTCCCATCAGGCATCTATACACACTGATAAGGTCACCCTGAGCCTTCTTATCTCCATGCTGAACAGCTCCAGCTCTCTCAGCCTCTCATCGCATGTCAAATGCTCTAGTCCTTTAATCGTTTTTGTTGGCTCTTCACTGTACTCACTCCAGTGTGTCAATGTATCTTTTGTACTGGGAGAGCCTAGAACTGGATACCGTGCTCCAGATGTGGTCTCGCCAGTGCTCAATAGAGGGGAACTCTCGATCTTATGAAAACAATTAGAAAGACTAATTCAAGGACAACCCAAGTTTGTCATCAAGCTGAGGATCTCTAGCTCTGTCTTTGAAAAAACTGACATCTATTACAAAAGAAAACAAAATTTGAATTATTTCCCCCTACATGCATATTGCTCACATCATCTTTCCTCCTGCCCAAGAGGTTCCTGTGAGCCCTAAAGGGGTACATGCCTGTGTATTGGGGGGTGGAGGAAGGGCAGAGAAGCTCCAACTTCAGAAAGTTTCAACAAAACCTCCAAATGTGTTGAGAACAGTGAATTGCTACCTCATGAACTACTGAAATACTTATGAAAAAGATAAAGGCAAGCTGCATCTTCATTGACTATGACTTTGGCTGACAATTCAGCTTTATATGCACAAAATTATCTTAAAAAAGTGTAAAGATACAGACATGAATCTAAACAATGTTAGAGTTACTTTACAAAAATTATGCTGTAACAAATCCATTTTACAGAACTTCAAAAATATAACAGTGGTGTCACTGAGTTTGTACAGGAACACACGGTTCAACTTCTGCTAACATACAAATAAAGATACCCTGCAGTAAAATAACATTACTGTCGGGTTCTAATAATATATTTCTTCACAAAAGCACGTTTTCTAAACTTATCGTGAACTACTGAGCAGTTAAGTTTTACCTCATTTTGTTGACCAACGCCATTGAGTGGCTGTTGCTGATTTTGTTCCAACCACTGTGGTGCTCCTCCGTGGACAATCTGTTCACGTAACCAAACAAGGCTGATAAATGCACACAGAGTGCATGTTACCACAAAACAGCCCTGCAAACAGTCAGCCAGTAAGTTCTCCCTGTTAAAGAAAGGAAGAAAACCAAACCATTAATGACAAATACGTTTTGCTAATAAGACTAAACTTAGTCAATTGCTAACTACCACAAACAGATCCTCTTAGTCTAAATCTACAAATAGACTGGTATTTGTGCAAAAAGCTGAATTTATGTGCCTAGGTGAACACAGTATCTAGACATAATTTTTATTTAATTTATAAAAAAATGTTCAAAGATTTCTTTTAGGAAGGCTGTATATGCCTGTGTACAAACGGTTTTAAGTGCCAGGATAAACACTGATTTGGAAAAGGTATTATTTCCCTCTGTTTTGGTTTGTGAAATTACTACTGTTTAAACATAAATATTCCTGCAAAACAGGATCTGATTCAATAGGAAGAAAAGCTTGAAGAGTAGTTCAGGAAAAACAATCTTCAGGAATAGCAAAGGAAACACAATAGTTGCTAAGTAAATGATTTGCTAGATGCAAAAGACCTGCTAGATGCATAATATCCATTCCACTGAAACATTTTTATATGCTGAGCTACCCTAATCCAAAGAATGGAACTGCAGGTTTTGCCTTCAACTGCTCCACATTTTGGGTAGTCTTTTACCCCAGATATTATCTCTATACTTTAAAAATCCTCATTTATCAAGTCATAGATAACTGCAAAGCAGCAGCAAACCGAAGTTCAGTTAGCCAACTGAAACTATGGTTTCATGCAATGCAAGAATTGGCTTAAGCAACCCTCTTCCATAATTCCAGGTACCCCCTCCCACTTGTTCGCACCCTTGCACTCCTTGACCACAGTGAATTTGCTCAGGAAACTAACCAACTACAGTATGTTCTTTAAAATAAGTAAGAAAAACGCCACCCCAGTACTCTGACTTCCCCAGACAAGTATCAGTCTGGCTTTCCACGTGGCCACACAAACACTTGTGCCTGCACAGCACAGTGAATACCATGGGGACAAGAAGTCCAAAATGAAAAAATGACACAAGATGCTATTGACATTAACTCTGCCAAAGAGATACAGGTCAAAGCACAGCTTCACATGCCCTTAAAATCTGACACATACTTGAGTCCTTTATTTTCTACCTAGACTGTAAAAGACATGAAAAGAGGTGCTCTAGATTCAGTTGTTTCAGATTCTTCTCAGAAAAATAAAAATAACATCTACACTTACTGGAAGGTAACAGGAAAAATACTGTTAATAATCTCAAGCAAGCATCTCCCTCCATTAACAAAAACTAATTAAAAGTAACGTGACTTAGCTGAAACGCACAAGACATTCATTCAAAATATGCTTGACTTGCAACTGATTCTACTCAAACTGAGTTTCAGTTCCTCAGGTTCAAGATAATGAAAAACGTAAGAACCAGCCTGAAACTCTGTTGTGTTGGTATTTACTGATTTTTTAAGTAATACTGATTTAAAAAAGACAAAAATAGACAATATTCAACAGCACATGGCGATTGAAGCATTAAAATCTAAGTGTCAGCTAGAAGGGACTCCAATTAAAAAAAAAATCCCTATCACATAAGAGACTCAGGATGGATAAAATTAAATTCAAAACATAAAAATGTAACAAAGCAAACAATGTGACATTAATATTATTAGCAATATAAGCAATATATATTAATATTCTACTGCGTGGCACCTGATTTAAATTGTAGGAAATTAATTTTTTAAATTATTAAGTGTAATTCTGCAGCATAAGTTTTCCTGACACGAAATACAAATCTTCATTAACTAGGGTCCATTTTGTAAAGTCAGTTTTCCATCTCCAAAGCTCCTGAACAACAGAACTTCAAAGTGAAATTATTTCTACTGTAATACTGTTGGCCATACTTCTTGTTATGCAAAGGGTAATGGGTAGCTGCTCGCATAAGACGATGGAAGATAACAAGTGTAACTGGAAGAAAGGGACACGAAGTTCCAAAGCAACCATCTTCATGGTAATTGGACTAGAAAAATGATTTGTACTAAACTGTTTAAGTACTTACGTTGACAGAATATCTAATGGCAGTGTCAGTAGTGAGCTCACAGAGCCAGTAAACAAGCACTTGTAGATACGACCTGCACAAAGAAACAAAGTGTGGTATAAATTTGATTTTGGTTATAGCCTTACTTGGAAAGGACCACAGGTACCTTCTTTTTACCTGGTGTCCTAGTTGAATTTATGACAAGGAAAAACCCTCAACTTCCTGTGAACTAACAGAACTCAAGACCATATAACCATGTGGTGCAAAGCCACGTGCAGCAATTTTAGCTGAACATTCTTCATAAAGTATACATTCAAAGCCTAAGAACTGCCATACTAGGTTAGACCCAAGATTAATCTAGACCTGTCTCCAGCACTGGTCACATGAACTGATGCCTAAGGAAGACTATGGAAACAGGTTAAAGCTACTTGCAGCAACACTTCCTCAGTACATTCTCATACGCTTCATGCAAAGCAGCTCAGTTCCTGTACCATAGTATCTCAGTGCTAATTAATCCTTGATGGATTTCTTTCCCCCATTAATTTGTTCAATCATATTCTGAACCTGTATAAACTTTTGGTGTTATGATATCTTGTAGCAAAGAGTCTCACCGTTTCATTATCTGTTTTAAATAACTGTTTCATGGATTCATACTTGATGCCAGCCAATGTTAGCTTTTTACCATGATTCTTCAGTCACACAATCTTAAAAGTAGGTTATCAGTGTATATACTTCATGAAAATCAGGTTCAGATCCATAGGATGACACAGATGCTCGGAACAGGAAGAGGGAAGAACTAAGGCACCCATACCCAGACACGCAATTCTTAAGAAATTCAAAGGTCTAGACTAAGTTAGAACACAAAAGAGACAATGGCTGTAGCTGATCTAATGAAAACATTCAGTCTCACTATAGTCAGTACTACTTGCACATTTTATATTGGACAGTCACCGAATCAAATTTAGCAAGATGATACCGATCCTCTGCTGCCAGGGAGTTTCAATAGTTTGCCTCTGCCTACGATCTAGCTACATAGTGGGGGAACTTCAAAGGGGCAAGATACTGCTGTGAACTCCGCCAGGCTGAAAAGGTCAAACAACACAAGCCTTGTAACTCCCAATTACCCTGCGCTGCTAGGAAACCAGCGTAACAAAACTCATTGTGAGATTTTATGGAATAGGAAGGGGATTTTATTACACAAAATCTCTAAGCAAACTATTTTTCCTCACAGATTTCACTTGCTCACTCTCACACAAACTGTCCTCATTTTGGCTGGGATAGAGTTAATTTTCCTCCTAGTAGCTGGCACAGTGCTGTGTTTTGGATTTAGTACTAGAAGAATGTCAATAACTCACTGATGCTTTAGTTGTTGCTAAGTGGTGCTTACATCAGTCAAGGACTTTTCAGCTTCCCATGCTCTGCCAGGTGCACAAGAAGCTGGGAGGGGGCCCAGCCAGGATGGCCCAAAGGGCTATTCCAAACCATATGGCATCATGCTCAGTAGATAAACTGGGGGAGCTGGCCCGGAAGCAGTGATTGCTGCTCAGGGATGGGATGGGCATCTGTCAGCAGGTGGAGAGCTACTGCGTTGTGCATCACTTGTTTTGTATTTTCTTTTATCATTATTATTTTCCCCTCCTTTTCTGTCCTATTTAACTGTCTTTATCTTAGTCCACAAATGTAACTTTCTTCCTCCTCCAATTCTCTTCCCCATCCGAGGCAGGGGGTGGGTGGTGGGCTGAGCAAACAGCTGTGTGGTGGTTAGCTGCCTGACAGGTTAAACCACAACACAAGCACTAAGACGTGTATGCCTAAGTGGTCTGGACAGGATCACTTGTGGGTAACACTGAAGACAAAGGACACGGACTAGTAAATCTTCATTGTACCTCTTGGATTCTTCTTGATTGGCATTTATGAACTGATTTTAGACCTGCCTTTCATACTCCTCATGAGTGGACACCACTTGGGATCTTTACCTCATTGTTTTGTTTCATTCTTCTTGAGCCTGAGGCAAAATTCACAATTCTCCTGTTTTCCTTATCTGTATACCTTTAACTCCAGTCCTGTTGTTCATCTTATTGACACCTTATCTTTAGTCTGTTTTCCCTCTTGATTTGAATGAAATCACATATACGGTGCTCTTTGGCAAACACCAAATATCCTTTTAGCTCTTCTGCGGCTGCTCACATACACAATTCCATTCATACTTTACTCGTGCCAATTTAAGTAGTTCTATTACACATCTCTACAATTTTAACCACCACACACTTACATGAAACATGTATACAAATGTTCTCTTCAGCTATATTTTTTTTTTTAAAAATAGCAACTTAATCACTCCAGAAAAAATGCATTTATGCACCATATTGGTGTGCGAACAGTGATTTCTAAAAGTTGAGATAAAGGAGACACTTCGGACAACTGAACTCCCAGTCTAGCATTTCCTACTGCCTCAGTGTACGCATTCACTTGACTCAGTGTGTACACCTCTTTCTTGCCCCATGTACTGTATAGGTACCTTGGGTATTTCACTCTAGGAACCATGCAGCTAAATACAATTATCACAGAGTATAAAACCACTTTGGATTAAACTGGCCCAATTAATCCTGCTTCTCTGAACAGATCATAGCAAATTGTATAACTGGCTTTTTTCATCCACTAATGTAAATACAGTTTGTGCTAACAGAATAGCAACAGCATATCAGAGCCTGGTGGGATTAGGCTGAGGGTATGCACAGAGAGAATATTTCCTTTTATTCAACCATATAAGTTGCATGCAATAAAGAAGTGAAGTTACCAAAAAAGAATGTAGAATTTATCCCATGATGGCATAACTGCATGACTAGCACATTAATCTGGAAGACAGATTTGTTCAACCATACATCTCCTTCGGTATATTTGACAAGTTTTTTAGGCTGCACCTTTTTCTTCCAGATATAAAATAATGTGAAGAATACTTCCTTGTGAAGCCAGCCACACATAATTATGTGAGCCATATGGCTGAAACAGGGAAGCCAAAAAGGTTACATTGAAAAGTATTTAAATATTACAGAAAATTAAAGGTTACATTAAAGGCATTTAATGTAACAAGACAAGACCTGTACAAAACCACATCCATGAGACAGATCCTGACAAATTTCAAAAGGAAATGGATTTTTCAAGGTTTGTTAGACTGAACAGCTCTATCATGTTGGATATCTTCCTCTGCAAATATGTTACCCTTTACAGTATATTAATTGTTAAAGGAATCCATAAACAGCGGTACATGTGCAATGTTAGAAACAGAAATTAAGACAAAGTAAAAAAACCCAGTCACTTATAAATCAAAACATAAGTCAGTTATGTTGGCTTAGTAAATGAGTATTAAAACCCCAAAATGACATTTGTAAAAAAACCAACAAACTATGTAACTAAGTTGTAGGTGGTGACTTCTGGTAAGATTTCAGTATTACTGAAGAGCTAGCATCGGATTTACAAACAGTTATGAAACATAGCTACCTTAATTATTCTATTGAATATGATTTTGCTGTGCTTTAGAATTTTAGTAAGAAAAGCGTACAACATTTGTATTTTGAAAGACAATGGCAGAAACCCAAGATCCATCTAAAAACCCAAGGAAGAAATTGGAATTATTTTTTAGTTTCAATGTAAATCTTGTTTACTCCATGCCTGGAAAAGCTCTTTCTCGCACAGGAAGGACAGGCTGCAGAAACAGGATCATTCTCTTATAGCTGATGCCAGTATTGTGCTATTCTCAAACTAAGACAGTGCCAGCTACAAATAAAAGCACAGAACATATTGACAAACTGTCTAGGGAGATGCATTTACTGGCTCCCTGCTCTTTTGTTCAAGGGGTATATTACTGTTTGTAAAGACGCACTTCCAATCGTTTCCTTGACTGAACACTATATCCCTTTTGCCTTTTTTCATCTTCTCTATATTTAGAGAAATAGGGGATAAATAAATAAATAAACATTTCTCTAGCTTGTTGAAACATCAATAGTTCTCTTTCCATTTGCATTTGAAAAGTGAATTTTAAACTGGATACTACAGTAATTTAAGTGCCTGCTCTCTTTTTCTGTTCAATTCCTTTACCACTTTATAGTAGTAAAGTTCATTACAAATCAATTTACTTATGAATATAAAGGAATTCCACTTTTCACACTAAAAAAAATTACACTTTCATTTATAGATGGTTAGAAAAACCAGAATAAATCTTCTAATCTAATATTAATATATGGCATCAATTTAAAACTTCCATGTAGATTTTAAAGATAATTAAAAGCAGCATTTTATTGGAATAAGAAGTTTAAAAGCCCTTTTATGCATTTTCTCCTATCTCTTAACACCTTCCTGCATTGCACTACTGGCTTAAGAGTCAAATAGCTAGAACTTCCGAGTGAAAATAAGTGAAATAATGTCTCTGAATTTATGATTTATTTTATTTAAAAAACCAACAATGGCCTCACAAAACTTCCTTGGAGGAAGTGGCATATTTTCCTGCCTGTAAGAGTATTACAGTACAAAAAATTAATACTTACATGCAGTAAGAGGTACTACTCCCAACCATGCAAAGGCCACAAGTGTATAATGAAACCAGTATCGTATTGCTGTGCCAATACTCGTAACCAGTCCAGCAAAGATGTCTTGGATTGGAAGCCGTGAAGGCATATCTGGGGAATAAACTGTGTACAAAAGGCAGTTATGAAACAGTTATTCCTTTAGAGAAGCATTTATGTAAAAGTCCTGCCAACTACAAAATGTTTGTATTTCACAAAAGCTTACTAGAAGAATAAGCATATTTTATAGATTCCCAAGAGATGACCCCAAACAAATAACAAAAAAAAAATTCACATCACATATTTGTTACATTGTGTACTGAGTGGAATGGGAAAATTAATAAACTCCATACTATTTTTGCTTAGAAAATTTTCCTTAACAGCTTTATTTATCAACTGTAAACTCTGATTATCTCAAAATAAGCTCAAGCCTGCAAGAAAAAGCAGATTCTAAATTCAGTAGCCGTCTCATCCAGCACTACCTCAAAGATAACCCTGTCTGTTACTTATAAAACTAGTTCATGCGAAGAGCACAATGAACAAGAGCAATTAGCAATTTTGCATACTGTCAATTTGCTTTTGCTAGATAATTTAGATCCCACTTGCTATCCAACAACAGCATGAAATAAAAAAATAAAAAAAAAAAAATCAGCAAAATGAAAGTACCACACAGACAGGAAAACTAAAGGGAACTGATTAAATATCTACAGACTTTGAAATTTACACAGAATAACTTTTACTTTCAACAGGTATCCATTTCATACCATGCAAAATTTCCTCCAAGGTCACTCTACAGAACATAATGCAAATCTCTCAGCCTGTATAGAAATTTTCATAATAGTAAATTTACTTGACTTTTTAAATTCAACACATGTATACTACATAAACCCTGTTGAAAAGCCAAGAAAAACAGCGACAGGGCTGCTTCTTTTGCAAACAATTAGAAAACATCTATCTCTAAAAATTTCATTAAATTTCATTAGCTTCTACACACTTACATGGGTGCCAAGAAGTGGCACAGTATCAATAACAGATTTGAATCAAGCAGAGAAACTACAGATAGGAGTTGCACAAAGATATTGCTGCCTGGGTGTTTAACAGTTATGTTGGAAACAGCTGAGCTTCAAGCCTTTAACACATTTAATTAATGGACTATTTTTTTAAAACATCACATACTTTTCACGACATAAGGGAACTCAAGTTTTATAAGAACTACTAGAAAAAGGTTTTCTTTCCCTCTCAATGGGCAATTCTTTTGACATAGAAGTCCAAGAAACACGGCTTCATGCAATCTACTTGCATTCCCCCTTTTCTCCAATGAACATCCCTGCTACCTTTACCTACATTCCTAATCATCCTTTTACTAATCTTGGAGAGGAAGCCTCTACAGGGAAAAAAACCCAAAACACACCTCTTCTCTCCAGGGATATTTCCCTAAGTTTCTGCATTGTAAAGAGAACTCCAGAACATAGAAAAGCAGTATCAACATGCAGAAGTAGCCTAAGAACGTGGAGAGTTTGGTGGATTTCAACAACATATGGATTGTATTTGACACAAAGAAACAACAAAACAGTAACCGTAAGACAAAGAGCAACTGGTTTTAAATTTCAAAGGTTCTTAGTTTTCAGGTATCTGGCAAGGAACTGGAATTAGTACAAAAAAAGGGCTAAAATTACAACACAAGGGAAGTGTAGCTGTGAGAACAGAGAGCAGTAAACTGAAAGCAGGACACAAACATATTTTGACACTGTCTACCAATTTACAATTTTCTTATGACAGAAACAGATTTAGTATACAATTTGGTAGTACCATAGAAAAAGCCAATTAAAGACTTACTAGCAATCTCAGCTCATACTGAAACAAACATTCTAGAAAACTATCAGAGGAGACAAGCAGACCTTTGTTAAGGGTTCTACAAGAATACCTACCTAGAGCGTATTTGTTATACATTTATGGTATCACTCAGACAAAATTGAACTCAGCAGATACTTTGAGGCTTATTTTTTTAGTTTTCAAAAAATGTGTTTTGATCAACACTTTGGAACTGCAAAACAGGCTACAAGGAAAACATTAACTATGCATTAATGATTTATTTGTTAGGGGGAAGTTGGAAGTGTTTGAAGTTTTTTTAAAAAAATAAATGCATCTTTCAGGAATTACTGAACATTCACACAAGGGATTGGATGCCCATCCTAACTCAGTAAAACTGAAGTGGTTATAAATGTTAGCACCTATACATACTCATTTTTCTAAAGGCTTTAGGATTACAAGTGAGCATTCAAATAAATGCACAATGTAGCTACTCCTCAGAGAAGACAAGCTACATTCCCCTGAATTTTAACAATTTGGTGATTTCTGATGATTTCAGGAGCCGGGGGTGTAGGTGGTGGAGTGGAAGACTGCTGTTTTTCCTCTGCTTTGCCACACCTCAACATATATAAAGCTCCTACCACTGCAAGCTTTATGCCATGATGATAAGATAAAGCCCTTCTATGTCCGACAACATTCGGGTAGGTGAAATGCAAAAATTCCTAGCATGACAGGAACCCCTGCTGTGCAAGCACACTGCAGCACTGAAGCTTACTGCCAGTGATTTTTCAGAGCTAATCCCCCCCACTTGTGTCTGTCATCTACCACTATTTTCTCTCCACATTCCACCACCCTGTTATCCACTCCTCACTACCACTGTGAGGCTTGAGACTTTGTCCCCTGCCACTGCAGTATACTTCCTCTTCATTCCCTTTCGCACACTTGTCCTCCTCATCCTTCTTCCATCCCTTAATTCCCTGCTCATTAAATCTTTTCTAAATCAGTTTGAGAAACCAGTTTCCTGTATTATTTACCACAGTTCCTTCAAACAAAAATCTCTCTACTAGAGGCCAATTAAAGCAGTGCTTTTTTTTCTGTTACAGCATGAAATGCGAACAGACTTTGGCTGAGCATAAGTGAGCTTTAGCTCAACTTCTTTGAGCTGTCCAGGCTGTGTTTGACTGGTTGTTTTCTGGGGGTGGGTTTTTGTTCCACACTTACCACCCTCCCCCATAAGACTAACTTTTTCAGGAACACAAATATTAATTTTGCTTCCCCAAAGCAGACAGCTCAGGACAAAAATCTGCTATTACACTGACACAAATAAGGTAGGAAAAACACACGGCTGTCTTTAGAAATATTCCCTCTCCTGCAAAAAATAAGGAAGAACACAGACAATAATGATTAGTAGCTTTCAGGGAAACAATTTGTCAACAGATTTCAGCTGACAAAAAAAAAATCCAGAACAGGGAAGTGGGGGGAAAAAAAAAGTTCCCAATGCTCTAGTTTACCAAAGTGATACTTTCAAGTTTATTAGAGGAAGCTTTCTCATCATTCCCATTTCCTCAGAGGCTATTTAGCACAAACATCACACAAATGTACTTTGACAAACACAACAAGGACAATCAGCTGAACCCAAGTGCTGTAATTCCCACCAAACTTAGGAAGTAAAACAAACTCACACTTTCAATTTAACTTCTCTTTCCCAATGTTTTCAAAGTACCAAAACTTAATCCAAATAAAAACTATACTGCCCACACAGCTTCCCTTGCAAGGAGATACGAGAGATATCTAGTCATGACGCGGGCAGGACAGAAAGTAGCTCTCATCAGAGCACTACCTGAGCAATAACAAGGTCTTTTTTGAATATCTGTATGTTCTGTTATAATGTAATATGTAATGATAATTATAAATATTAGCAAACATGGATAGTTTCAGACTTCACTTTTGTTGCTTGTATTAAGAAAAAAGAAGAAAAAAGCAGCAGCAACATCATGAGCATTGGCACTCTCTGTAGTTATAAATGCCAGCTGCACAACAGAAAAACCCCAACCCAATGCTTATGGATTAATTAAAAAACCCCCAACCTTACGTATTTAACGTGGTGAATCTCAGCGTGCTATCGGATAGCTCAGGAGCTCAATCATCCACATGATTCACAGGAACAAATAGTTCCCGATCCAACAGACTTGCATATTAACAATTACACATAAACAAAGGTGGCAAACAACAAGAAAGGAAGAACAGTAACAAACCAGGATTAGAAGAATACAGTGAGCTCCAAGTGCATGCAAGCCTTGAATTAGTAACTCTGCATGTATAAATCAAAAACTTATTTCATATTATTATAAATTATAAACTGCAGAACATCCTACCCACATGGCTTCCTTCCATTTTACAATCTTTGTATTAACAAAGCTTGTGACATCGTATTGATCACTTACCAGCAATGCAGCTGCTTAGGAAGCAAAGGGATCAACCCATCCCAATCTCCGGCCAAAGATCAGGTTAGTCTACTTCCATATTTGCATATTTATGCTAATGTTACTTTCTACAGAAAAGAGAAGTTTCGAAAACTATCTTCTCATGGGAAATACAGCCTCACCTTCTTTCACAGGTCAGTGTTTATGAATGTTTAGTGTGACATCAAGAAAAGCGTATCCTAGCACATGACAAAGGAAAGTGCATGTGTGGGGAGGAAAAGTGTAATATAAAGTAGTTGCTCCTTAAAAACTCAGAAAGAAAACGTGCAAGTTAAAAATGAACAAGCACCTTGACATAATTCGAAAGAAGTCCAGAGCTGCTTATTTTTTTAATAGCTGTATTAACTCATAACTTGAAGAACTGCAGAAAAGGAATGGACTTTAAAACATACAAAATATAGCTTCAAAGAGTGCATTTGGAAACTGAGTCATTTGCCTACATGACTGAACATTTTTAGAGAGCGATGCTATTATTCAAAAGAAAAATCAGTTCCTTTGTACTCCTGCCAAGATGTAAGTTGAACCTTCTACTCTTCCTTCCTTACAAACAGTAACCTAATAGTTCAGGTTCTAAAGAAGTCACAAGATGTTAACAGAATTTAAAGACAGCAAAGGACTTACAGAATATATGCACTAGGAATATTTTATGAATATTCCATGCACAAAATGTTATACTAGCAAAGGAGCATTTTTGACAGAAGGACAGCAACAGCCTTAACAAGCAAACCAAGCTAAACTAAAAGAGGAGTTTCTGGTATTACTGCATGACTATTCTCAACTTACTGCCTGTCCATTGAAGCACAGATACCAATTATGTATCTGCATTTATTCCACCACATCCCATGGTGAATTAACTTATCTGAAAGTGCTTTAAAGCTGGCATGGTTATAGGCCAGATCCAGCTTTGCTTTGGATAACTGGCATATACATTATTTTTTTTTATTCCCCCCCCGGCAACCTGTGGCTCTTTCCCAGCTCCCACAAACAGATCCAGCTTCTAGACTGGACACCCCCACATTATCTTCCAAATAAAGAGGGATAAGAGAAGCTAAGGAAACCATAAATGCATGAGTGTTGCACGCGAGGGAAACAATGAAACGAGACACTGCATATAGAGGGCTGGAGGAATCTGTGCTAGATACCCAATGTTTGCTATCACTGTGTGCAGCCTGGCAGAAAAAAACCACACTGTCCAATGTGGAAAGCCAAGAAGAAAACTTTATCAGCCGAGGGTGCTAAACCTGGGGCGTGGCCAGTGCGTGACAGGAGGATAAGCAGACCTTTGCTAGAGGCTGGATGTGGAGGAAGTACTCTATTATGCGAGCAAGAAGGAGGTTCACTTATTACCAATTTCAGGGCTCCTGTGAGAAATGGTAACTTGTTAAACCACACTAATTCAATTATCATTTCTCATGTGTCCATAATCTGCAACTGCATTACAATCTGTGCTGGTAACAGCTATGTCAGTCAAGGATTAAACTACTGCAGGAACACCTCTGTTGATAAGGGCAGAGAATAAGCTTTCCAGTATCAATAGTAACATGCATATAAAGTGCATTTCATTTAGAACTTCTCATCTTCTTTTTTCTATACCCTAAGGAAAACACTAGACATTTTTGTCTTTTTTCATACAAAACTAGAAAGTCTTCTTTCTTCTTAGCAACTAGTAAATCACCGAAATGCACTTTTCTGATCTTGTACACTAAATTCTGTAGAGAACCTAGTAGCAGAATGCAATTTTTACAGTGGCTAATTTGCTTGTAGGGAGATCCAGAACTGGGGATCACTCTTAAGCTGCACAGCTTCCAAACAGAAGCAATATAACACCTTCATAGAGACATTTAACAAATAAAACCTGCAAGCAGATGACATCTCTCTTACATTTCTTATACAGGCCTCTATAGTATTTAAAAAGAATAACCTGAAAGCATTGCTCTGATCAACATAAAATATACTGTTGTCCTCACAGGGGAATGACAGAGTTAACATTGTACATTTTGCTGCTGATCATTTAAAAAATGGTCTAATGTGTTTAATCAACTGTTGGCAGAAATGGAAAATCCTGAGGTTCAATATACAGAAGGAAGGTGGATTATGGGATTTTTGGAACAGAAAATACACAAACTAAACCATCTGGGTCTTTAGCCTCAGTTTTCTCTACCAATGTACAAAACTAGTGAAGTACACTTTATTGCACAACACACCTAAAACAGTCAAACCTCATCTTCCTTCTCAACTCAAGACAGCTTCTCCAGTGCAGATACTCATCAATTTAAAAAAAAAAAAATTAAATTACATAGCTGCACCACAAAGAACAGAGTTCAGCAGTTGTAAAGAATAAATTGGCACAAATAAATTTAATGAGAAAAATACACAAGAACTACTTTACCTGTTCAACAGTCAATAAGTTGGCAATACTAAATAATGAGCCTAGCCTGCCACCAAGCCAAAGAACCTCACTTATTTCTACTACTATTGGTTAAAACGTAATTAAGAATCCTCTGGGAACTACATAAAGATACAATCATTCTTCATCATAAGTTATCTAACTTCTTTAGTTGAATGTAACATAAAAGGTGATCTAATAATGGGTAGTTACTGTATCTTGACTGAAATGCAAGTGGAACCAATTATCGTTTGCATTATCTGTCAAAACCATTTGAATTGAAACTGACAGCAGTCATGTGGTAGTGCTGAGATGGATAGTTCAAAGGTAACTTGAATTTGAAAACCAGCTTTCAATTTTGCTGCTGTTTCACCTTAACATTCAGACTTCCAAACGCTCAAATTTATCAATGAAGCTGAAAATATGCCATACACTGTAATGCTGGCAACAAAAGAATGGGACTGAGGCAATCAGAAAAGGTGCAGAATAATACTTCTTTTATGGCTCACAGAATATTGTGAAAGAACCAGATTATCCATTATTTAAACAATTCACACAGTTTGCAATAATATTCATAAGAACTGCAATTCAAACAAGAATGTAGAAGTTAAGACACAAGTTTGGATCTATCATACTGAATGAAAAAGTAATCACTTCATGCATAGTAAAAGAAAAAAGGAAAAGAAGTTCTGAAAAAATAGGAGCATACTTACTTGGTGTGAAAGCAAATCTGTGCTTACATAATTCACAGTATTCTTTTCTGCTGTGTTTAAGCCACTGAACTAAGCTGCAATAAAAAGTGATCATATTAATACACGCTATTGCATCTCTCTGCCTTATCCCTCCATTAAGGGATTCACACACCAATTCTCTGTTTTCAAACATAAATCAGCATATTGGTACTATTAAGCAATACTTAAATTAGCATGCTTATTAAGTCCATTTAGGCCACCAAGTAAGTTTCAAAAACTGAAAAAGGTAAACTGACTATGAGTAACAGCAACTCTTCAATTACATCACTTACGTTATCAATAAAGTATATTCTTTGAGTAAGTTGTTGAAAAGGCTAATAACTCAAAGCACATATCCTGACATGGGCACCCACTAGTGACACCAGTCCTTACAAATATTTCAAGATATGACACATATATGCACACATCTAAGATTTAGAACTGCTATATTTGTGTATTGTTGTATTTGAATGGCTATTAAAATACCATCAAAAGGAATGTGTGCTACAGACCAGAACTACAGTTTTCACTTTAGCATCTCCCTGATTATACACATCAAAATGACCAAAAAGTAGTAGGGTATTTTTATTTCTTGCTATGACGTTAGATGTTCTTTCTATTCCCAGCTATAAGTGGGAAGAAAAAGCCCCAACATTCTGATTTTTCTGCTTAGTTTTCATTAAGCTGACACACGAGCAGAACTGTAGTCCTAAACAAAAACAATTATCAGTACTTTCTTCTCATTACAGAACTGTAATGAATCATCATGTAAAAAAACATCAAAACCTCTAACACATTTCTGCTGAAAATTGGATTTTCTTACTAGCCAACCTGAAGACTTAGGAAGTATTGCTTCTAGAAACATGTTAACATATTTTATTAAAAAAAAATAAAATTAAAAAACCCACAAACACAGAACTCACCATTCCTGATGAATAAATTTAATACTGCCAGTACACACACATGGATGATAGAGGGGTTTCTCAGGAGTTCCTTCAGACCGACAGACTCTGCATATATCTGCTGACAAGAACATAAAGCTTAAACACTGCTACTTAAAGAACTCAAATTTACAAGACAAATTACACAATTGAATGCTAGAAACTTTGCCATGCAGCAAAATGAAGCCAGAAAAAAATGAAAGAGGATGAAAGACAGATTTTATCTGATGCAGGACATGAAGACTGAGAGATCACCAGAAAAAGCAAGAAGAATGTTTATCTACCTGATCACATTATAAAAAAAAGAAACCAAACCATGTCTTATTACATCTTTAAGATTTCTAGGAGTAGAACTACATGCAGAGGTGCTCTTTGCCTAAAAAAGTTATCACTGAAACATAGAGATTGTTAAGGATAATCTTCCTGAAAGGGGAGACTTTGAAATGGAAAAATTCTGTATGAGTTTTGAACAAGTTAAAAGGAGGCTGAGCAGAAGAGATTTACTAATGTTTAACAATGACTTAAACATGCCATTTGCTACTCCTGAAACTAACACGGATGCTCCTTGGTGCTCTCAATGAAAGGGCAAAAAAACCCATCACAATAAACAGAAACAGGTATTTTGTGAGTTTGCTACCCGAGCTGAATAAGGCCACCCATTGAGCAATCTACAGTCCAGTCACAAGAGGGATGACATTTTCTACTTCTTATTTCATAATTTCAATAATATTTCAATAGGTCCTGCACCTTCTTTATTCTCTATTTTTGACATTTTCTTACAACTAAAGGTTGCAAGATGTTTTGTGCACAACAACGTGAGTGTAAACCTCTCCCTCTAAAGAACTGATGTCTCTTAATACCATTCATTTATCCAGAGCATTTAAACATACAACCAAATATAAATAAAAAATCAACTATTTTATTTGCTTATTGACAGATGCATGGTGTCTTCCTTTTACTCCCCCTTTAATACCATTGCACTTTCACTTCTATTAAGGAAATTGACATAAAATGTCCATTTTTATAGGAGATTTAAGTTTAAGATTTTCTCTTTTGTTAATTATTTCTCTATCAACCACCATTCAGCAAACCTGCAAGAGTGTAACAGATACACATCAGAGATCTTTGTTAGAAAAATACCTACTTAAAGTACTGATATAAGAATACTGAAAATACGCAATTTCAAGTCTGAATCACCTATCTTCATTCTTGGTTGACATCTCCAAAAGTTAATGTATCTCTACAAACAGTTCCAAAAGGTACCAATCATTAAAACCTGAATGTTTTTCTACAAAGAAGTCACAATACGACCATATCCATAGCTGACACAGTATTAGAACAGTTTCTACACTTAAAGCGTAAGAATACAAGTGACTTCAAAAGAAAAAAAAGTAATTTTATATCTACAAAAGAGAGTGTTGAACTCATTCATGCAGGCCGAAAACCTAGAATTAAGAGAAACGTGTATTCAATACCACATCGACAATGCTACAAAGAGACGTAAAGAGTACTTCTGTCACAGCCACATCGAGCAACGACGTACCCCTGCAAACATCAAGAGCCCCTGGTTTCTCTGCCAACAAGAGCGACCAGAACCACCGCTTCACGTAACAAGCGATCTCTTATCATAGAGATTATTTCCAGATCACTGCACGGGACAGGTCTCTTCAACTAACCCACCACCACTTGCTGTGGCATGCCCACCTTCCTCCAGCATTCCTTCAAACTGAGCTGTTTCGCTGCAGTACACTGACAACTTTGTACTCTGGATCAGCCTCATCAAGGGTCAGGCAAGGACTAGAGCCAGCACAAGAGACAGAATGTGAAACCACTGCTTTAAGAATACTCTCTGGCACAAAAGCAAGCAAGTTAAGAGCAGGCTGTTCTCTGAAAGACTCCAGTAGCTCTCTGAACCCGCTCATTAATGGTCCATTGGCTTTCACAGCAGACTGGTCACTTATTCTCAAGACTGGTGGGAAAAAACATAATTTGCTTTACTGAAAGCAAATGAATTCTTTATTTGGAAAAGAATTTCCTCTGTTAGCTTACTAGTATAAGTTAAACCTAAATTTTAATTTTTTCAAAGGCTACGAGAATTTCTAGATAGTCCCACTTGTTTTATAAATCCAAATAAAAAAAGTACGAGTGTAACGATCTGGACTATTAAGCAGCTGATAGCTTCACATGAATAAACCCCGCTGAGGGTCAACATGTAAAGCTCTGCACCTTATGAACTACTGTCATGTTCAGAGGTAATTCCACTGTCTAACAGACACTATTTTCCTACTTGCACACACACTTTGCATCCGTTTTGTCACGCATGTGTTTTGGAAAGAATGACCTTGGGTAATACAGTTTCTTTGTTGCCCCAGAGAACAATTCTCTGCCTATCACCTCTCTAGCTGTGTCTTCATCACTAACAGCCAAAGGTGGAGATTATGTTATTTAGCAGCAAACTGATTGAACTGGAAAGAAACAGAAGTACCTCTCATCAGCAAAACCTGGCGCCTGGTGCTTTCAGGTGCTACAGAGAAGCAACTCTCACATTCACTGCAAGATGAAGAAGCTGCCCCTTGGGTCTGACGGTTACTACCCTAAACTGCCCCTCTCATCTAAGCTCATACCATCCAGCTAAGTTTTCGAGCTCCACACTAAACTCAGCCAAGCACGAAACCATCAGTAACACCACAGCCATAATATCGCTAATGGGCTACCAATATTTAGAGAAGTCCACGTGGCATTTTGTAGCAGCAGTTCAGGCACACAATAATATTAGAGCACGCATTTCGTCTTCCTTAAGGCACCAACGCAGCCGTTTCTACTGCTGGTGTTTAAAGCTTTCTAACCTTGGGAAGCCTCTTCAGCGGTCTGGCAAGTGTCAGGGAATTAAAGTTTGAAACTGTAGAAGTTGTAACATTCTAGCGGTATTTATGGAAAGTGAGTATATAGACCAGTTACTTTCATCCTACTAGTCAAGAGCTTTTGAAGGTAATGTTGATAAGACTAAAATACAGTATCTTAGGCTACACATATACGCGTTTGTGTGTGCATTTACATAAATATATATAAATTAAAACCCAGGAAAATCCAAATTCCAAATGTAGAATTTAACACAAAGGTTTAGTTAAAGGAGACAAGGCCTTAAGACGTAACTAACAGCCCCCTCTTCTTTCTCTCCCTGGTCTCTCCCTTCACCTACCGAAGTCCTGTGAGCACAGGTATGATCCAAGACTACCACTGTTAACAGCCTGTAACAAACTATCAACTATGCTGCTCGAGTGAAACCCACCAGGATGGATTTACCAGCGACAGGAGCGGTGGGAATGCAGCTGGTCATTTGAGACTCTCAACTTCACAGTTTGCAATGATTCAGGTTTTCGGGGCAACCAGGGGCCAAGCACTCAAAGTTTCGCTTTGAGTTCACTTACATTTCATCAGTGTAAGTAACTGTTGGTCTACAGAGGCATGACAAGATTGCAGCAAGCCTTTTAAAAGTTGTTAGATTTTAATAACACTAATATTTTGATGAACCATCTGTTTTCACAGGTGCTAAAGATGTCTACAGCGCAACCCAAGGGACATTTCTACAAAGGTGCTGTCTTATTTCATCCCGTGTTTCTTGTTTTCCCAGCTTTTTTTCATTTTAATCCTCTCAAGACGGAAAAAATCAAGTGCCACTAGATAAAAAGCCACATTCAGAATGATGCCAAAATAATAAAAGCCAAGAAACAAAACACGTTCCTTGGAACTGCCTTGCTACTGCAATACATATTTGTAGTTACTGCTTAAGATGACAAACAAAGCTCAAACACTGCAAGAAACATAGCACAACACATATCCTTTATTTATTTTGGTTTACGCTGCCATAGGAAGTCCTGGTTTATGGAAGTTCTGCATTATCAGCTTGAACTACACAGTCCCTCAACATTATCTGAGCAGAGCAAAAGTGCTGACGAAACATACCCACTCAGCAAAGCAATACCCTTCAAAATGGAAACTACCCGTTAAGAAAACATGACTACGATCTCTTTGACAGCTTCTTTTTTAAAATGAGGTAAGTCACTATCTATCAGCCTCTTGTAGAAGAGGCAGAGAAACATGTCAGCTCCTGCCTGCATCGCTTCACTACTTCCAACTTTTCAAACAGACTTTCCAGCATATGTAACGAAGTCAACCTTGCAAAAGCAGCAGCAGCTAAAGCTGCTGTTACTCCTCAGCTGAAAGGGGATATTTAAAACTCGCCGAGTTACAGGCCCGGGTACAGTGTCTGCCGGCCAAGAGAAAATTGGGCCCGGCGAGGATTTTGGACGACTCGGGCCAGCCCCTTCCTCGCGGCCTCCTATGCCTGCCCCAGCTAAAGCACCCCCGGCTGCTGCTTTCCGCGCCGGGACTTCCCTCCACAAACCCTCTTTAACTCTCGCCCCCTAGCCCCCCACGCCCCCGGAGCGCCGGTAACGGGCAGCC